TTGTTTTTCAACCCCTTTTCCACCCCCTTAGACGGCCTGACAAATTATGAGTTCACCACCCTCCTATCAAATACAATAAGTAGAATCGTTTGCTGCCTTCAAAATCCATGTACAACGAATATTAACGGAGATAATGAATTTTTTCGTTTTTCAACCCCTTTTCTACCCCCTTAGACGGCCTGACGAACTATGAGTTCACCACCCTCCCATCAAATACAATCAGTAGAATCGTTTGCTGCCTTCAAAATCCATGTACAACGAATATTAACGGAGATAATGAATTCTTTTGTTTTTCAACCCCTTTTCCACCCCCTTAGACGGCCTGACAAACTATGAGTTCACCACCCTCCCATCAAATACAATCAGTAGAATCGTTTGCCGCCTTCAAAATCCATGTACAACGAATATTAACGGAGATAATGATTTTTTTTGTTTTTCAACCCCTTTTCTACCCCTTTAGACGGCCTGACAAACTATGAGTTCACCATCCTTCTATCAAATACAATCAGTAGAATCGTTTGCTGCCTTGAGAATCCATGTACAATGAATATTAACGGAGATAATGATTTTTTTTGTTTTTGAAACCCTTTTCTACCCCCTTAGACGGCCTGACAAACTATGAGTTCACCACCCTCCCATCAAATACAATCAGTAGAATCGTTTGCCGCCTTCAAAATCCATGTACAACGAATATTAACGGAGATAATGAATTTTTTGTTTTTCAACCCCTTTTCTACCCCCTTACACGGCCTGACAAACTATGAGTTCACTACCCTCCCATCAAATACAATCAGTAGAATCGTTTGCCGCCTTCAAAATCCATGTACAACGAATATTAACGGAGATAATGATTTTTTTTGTTTTTCAACCCCTTTTCTACCCCTTTAGACGGCCTGACAAACTATGAGTTCACCATCCTTCTATCAAATACAATCAGTAGAATCGTTTGCTGCCTTGAGAATCCATGTACAATGAATATTAACGGAGATACTGATTTTTTTTGTTTTTGAAACCCTTTTCTACCCCCTTAGACGGCCTGACAAACTATGAGTTCACCACCACCCTATCAAATTTGACTCAGGCTCTCACCCCTCTTCAGTCATTATATGAAATGCGTTCAAGTTCCATCTGAAATAGGGTGAAATTTTTGGTGATAAATTTTTCTCGGTGTATTTTGTGGATGTGGCTAACTTCACTCCCGTACCAGTATCGACGAACTTTTTCGACGATACGACCACTTTCGGCGCTTTGACCACCGATCTTATAAAAAATAGTTATTTATTATACAAGGGAAAAAAGTAGTAGATTTTAGCTCCAGGTTGTGTTGTCTCCCGACGCGTAGCGGAGGGAGACAAGAAACCGTGAGCTAAAATCTAATATTTTTCCCGTGTATAATACACTATTTTTTTCTGTGACAGAAGGAAGGACGAATCAATATTGAGAAGATATTACATTATTTCGAAATCTGAAAATTATCGACGTGAAATTTCAAGTTTTTAACAGTAGGGACACCTGCGTTTTATAGACATCTTTATAATTCTTTTGAAGTAATCAAATATCTGATGTCACTTCTGTCAGTTCAATTCTGTGATTTGATTTTGAAAAATTGCGAATTCAGTAGTTGTTTAGTAATATACGAAACCGCGAAGTCGAATGGAAGATAAAAGGACTTGCAGTTCTTTCTCGGAGACGGTATTATTGACTCATTTTTCGGAACTATAGCACAACAAAAGCCATTAACAGAGTATATATATGTGATATATATCCGGGAAAGAAGTACTCACTTTTTGCCCACGGGAAAAAAGTAATTTATGAAAAGTGACATTTTATAACCTGCCAACAGAGATGAAATGCCAAACTTTTTTCCCGTCACAGAAAAAAATACGTTATTCGATTCATTATTCATGATACAAGAATGTCCGACTGAAATAAAAATTGTATTGCGAGAACGAGATTAATACGAAAAAGAATGCACATAGGAAGTCCAACTGGAAAAAATTGGTTTGAAATGGACGGTAGGACTACTTTCGATGATATGATCACTGAACTGTTTGGATCATGGCAATTTTGAGCTTTCAACCAAATGTCCACCGATCTCTGAGGCGTTACGACCAGTTTCGGCGACCTTCTACGACGATACGACCACTTCTAGCTATATGTTCAGAGAACTGTTTCGATTTTGATCATTTTCATCATTCTACCAAATGTCCACCGATCTATTTGGCGTTATGAAAAGTATCGGCGACCTTTTTCGAAGATTAGACCACTTTCCAGGATATGTTCACACTGAACTGTTTCGTGGTATCCTCTTCACTCTTCAGTTTTCAATCTTTTCTATAGGCCTCTCTTGGTCGATCCTTCTTTTTTCCTTCCCCCCTAAAGCCCAACCCCAGCATAGTGCGGGGAGGACAAGCCACGGCTGCTCGGCAGATTGAACATTTTGAGAACATCTTTGCTCTTATCACTGAGATGGGACAGCTTTGTGGACATCTGCTTATGTGGCCGCGAATTGATAACGCGGCTCTGGCAACCTAATCCAAGGTGTGGGAGTCCGTGATGAGGGATGACTGACACCGAGGTTATATCAAATCAAATCAAAAACATTCTTCCTATTGACGAAGCGTGAGACTAGCAAGTGGATAGATCCACGATGTCCAATTATTAATTCAAAGATATAAAAGATATAAATATAAAATATAGTTAATAAATAACACATATACAAGGGTATAGATTGTGGAATGCAATGGTCACAAATAGAGAGAAACTCAAAGTAATTACCACAATAGTTTATAAAATGTACGATAACGAGATGACTCCTGTAGACTGGTTTTGAGCTGTTGGCTCTAGTCAGTGCAGGGCTGTCCCAGATAGCATTCTCGACCACTATCTGGTGCGAACCTGACCCAATGAAAACGCATTTCAGCATTTATACACCACGAGGCGTTCAACGTCCGCGAAATGAATGAGAACGCCGAACGCCACCTGGCATGGAAAGAAACACTCCAAACAAAAGAAGTGGCTGGTAGCCCGACTGGCGTATTTTCAACTAGGTAAAAGCCAAATTCTCAAAGTGGTTCGGTTCAGGAACGCGTGGAAGGAACCACTTAGGCGCAGCTCGGCGTTTAGGAAGGAAACACGTGCGATTTTATTCGTCTATATGAATTATTGCATAGATTTCGGAAGGATGTAATCCAATGTTCTGAATGGCATAGAGCCAGGAAAGTAGTTGTTTTTCTCTTGTTATCTACCATTTTCGTTCATTTCATGAACTATTGTGGTAATTACTTCGAGTTTCTCTCTATTTATGTCAGAAAACAAAGTTTGAATCTCAAAGGTGAAACAAGATTATATGCAGATGATACCATGATACTATACTTTAGCAACTCTTATGATGAACTGAAACTTCTACCTGGTTGATCACTTAATGTAAATCTGGATATGTAATAATCTCTAGACACATGTCCAAGTGAACATACCGTATGGGAATACAACCTTGCAATACTCTCAAGTTATTAAGTACCTTGGTCTTTACATTGATGAAACTTTGTCCTGGAAAACCCATTTAGACAGACTGAGATTGCAGCTCCAATAGGTATATTATGGAAGTTGAATAATTGCATACCAAAACATCTTTCAAGAGGAATTTACTATTCATTTATACAATGTTACTTACAATATCTTACTCTACTATATAAAGTCAATTGAAGTCTTACAAAATAGAGCAATAAAAATATTCATGGATTGTACAGAAGATATCACACAAATGATCTCTATAAAAATTTTAACATTATGCCCCTGAATGCTATTCACAAATACCAAGTATGTCTCTATATATACCAAATTATTAATTCTAAGAGACTGTCTAACCTAACTTTTATCAGGAAAAATGATATTCATCACCATAATACAAGACATAACAATGATTTGGAATCAATTAGGTTCTCTCTAACCTCTAGTCAACCCTCAATGTTTGTCAAGGGTGTCACTTTGTATAATGAGCTCCCTTCCCATACAAAATGTTTTCCAATAATGATATTCAAGAAAAAGTTGAAAAACTTCCTCAAACTTTACTGAACCAGACCAAAATGAATAAATATGTGAATAAGTGTGTACAAAATGTCCTCCAATGTTGTATTAATGGAATCTTGACTGTAAGTGTAATACCTGTGGTAATACCAAGGGATAAATCTCCTTGGAAGTCTGGTGTACACTCTGTTGGAAGTCTTTGGAATTCTTTGGAAGTCTTTGGATGTTTTTGGATGTCTTTGGAAATCTTTGGATGTCTTTGGAAGTCTTTGGATGCCTTTGGATGTCTTTGGATGTATTTGGAAGTCTTTAAAAGTCTTTGGGAGTCTTTGTAAGTCTTTGGGAGTCTTTGGAAGTCTTTGGTAATTGGAAGTCTGGTGTACACATTTTTCCTGGAGATTTACCCCTCAGGTAATACTGTAGTTTTGGTCTGTGTTAATTTTTTAGTGTGAAGTATATGACAATGCCAACTGGCTCATGTGAGATAAATAGCTTAACACTGATATACCTATGTATTAAAAATAAAGTTATGTTTTTTTTTAAGAATGTAAACAAAATATTAGTTCAATAAAGATCTCTCTATTCTCTGACAAAAAACTCACCAAATTTCCTGGTCCGATAAAAACTATGTAAATACTCACCTTCATTGTCAATGTATTTTTTTTTGTGTGTTTGTGATCAGATAATTATGTATAGGTATGTTCATATCATATTTTGTAGTTATTAAAACTTTTATCATTTGCTCTTTTTCACCTCATAGTCTTGATATTTTGTATCTTTTGTATTTATTTATATATATTATAGTACCTATTTACAATAGAGTTGATGATATTGGTATTTCCAACAATGAACTGCTATACATGTATATAACCGTATATAACATAACATGGTTAAATACATTATTTATCTATCTATCAATAAGACATTCAACTCTTCCAAAAAATAAAGCAGAGCACAATAAACAAGTCACTAACCTTTTTATATCTTGTGGTATCTTCATGCTGATGTGCAGTGACCAGTTTTTGGGTCAGCTGCTTGAATGCCTCCACCTGCTGTCTGAACTGATGCAGCTCAGCATGCAACCCCTTCTGCTCCCTCAGCTGCACCTCCAGCACATCTGCAGTATGTCCCACAGGGGCCATCCCAGCCAGCCTGGATTCCATCCTCTGCAGCCATACCTCCAGGTCCAGCTTAGCTTGGTCAAAATGTTCTTCATTCTTGTGCATCTCCACTGAATTTCAGACCTTCAAAACGTGGAAATTAGTTGAACTGACTGGACTGGGTGTTCTAACCACACTAACAATTTTTCAACTGACCTTACCTGACTTCCTCAACAATTTCCTATTGCCATATCAATTGTATTTCATTTCCGGCTAAAACAACATTATCACATACTGAATACAAATAAAAAATTTAAAATCGTATCGTCCTGTTCCTCCTTATAAGGGCGAATATCTCGGAAGTCTTCACCAGATCAATGTAGGTTGATGACCGCGCACCTGGTCCGATTTTTCCTGTCACCCCTTAGGAGATATTCTAGGATATTGTAGTGATGTTGTAGCTTTCTTTACCTACACCTGCATTTTAGGAGAAGTTGGTATTACTGGTTATTTCAGAACAGACCTTCTCAAAGTCTTTTATTCCAAAACAAATTTAGTTTATTCAATAGAGCAGTTCAGCTATCGTTGAGAGAGAAAAAAAAATTAATAATTAACTGTCAGAAGTTTGTTTACAAAAATAATATATGAGCAGAGTTGCCGCTCTGACATCTGACAACGACGAACGATGAAAGGTTTGCGGTGCTGCCGCTACTATCCAGTAGTTTTTTATTCAGAATGGCAAGAAAAAGTTTCGTTCTCATGGTATGCAGTGATCGAATATCAGAGGTCTGACTTAACGAAATTAGTGATATACAGAATTTGTTCCACAAGTAATCACATTTCATCGTTTTTGTAACAAAGTCATTACAGATTACAGGGTGACGGAGTAGTAGACACGACCAACATCTGTTAAATGTCAAAACACTGCAAAACCTAACCTCAAATTTTGAGTGGAAGTGAAAGGGTTTCCACGTTAAAAAAATTCAATTACAAAATATCAAGGACCAGTACAAAGAATCAGCAATGACTATACCATAGTAATATAAAATGGAAAAGCAGCAAACAAATATCACTCCAAGAGAAGTCGAGAGCAATGGAGTAATAAAAAAAGAAGTACCATTGGATATATCAAAAAAGGGCCTCACCAGCATTAGAGCCATCGTATTTCTGTTGTTATGGTATTTTTTCAGTGGTTGCACACTTTTCCTGAATAAGTATATCCTAACGTATCAGAATGGCAATCCCACAGTTCTAGGTAATGTGTTTTAAGTTGTAAATTCCTATTCTTTGCCATAGTTATGCATAGAAGCAATAATCATTTTGATAAAATTGCAGGTGCTTGTCAGATGCTTATGACTGCAACATGTGGCTTCATTCAGTTATATTTTCCATGTGGAATGTACAAACCCTCCCAAAGGTTAAGCAAACCACCAGGTTTTTATCAACATATGGTTCTAGTTGGCTGTTTTAGGTAGAATATTGAAAAAATTCTTCAGGGAAATTGGGTAATTTTCTTTCATTTCAGATTCATCACAGTTGTTTTAGGACTAGTAGCATTGAATTATGTTGCTGTTAGTTTCACAGAGACCATAAAAAGCTCTGCTCCACTTTTCACTGTCTTGATATCAAGATGTCTTTTGGGTAGGCAACAGTTTTTCTATTCTTTAACAATAGGAAGTCATTAACATTTTCTCCCATCTATTTTAGGGGAACAAACTGGTTTGTATGTGAATTTAAGTCTTCTTCCTGTGATGTCTGGGTTGGCTTTATGTTCAATAAATGAAGTTAGTTTTGAGATGACTGGATTTGTGGCTGCTATGGCTACTAATGTTACTGAGTGTGTACAAAATGTTTACTCAAAAATGCTGATATCAGGAGATAAATTCAAATATACGTGAGTATATATTCAGAATGATCCAATTTGATTCCTGAAGTGTCTAGAATTTTATAAGTATCTCAAAAATTTGCTATCTATAATGATTATTGCTGATACCATCTTCTGTTTCTCAGAAATGGTGGTACCTTGGTACCAATACAAAAACTACTCATGTAACTAATGATGAAAATGTGTTCAATTAATCAACTGCACCTCTTCCATTATTATATAATAATCAAATATATTCAGTGAAAGTGAATGTAATATCTGATGTGTTTATTTATAGATGTGCTGATTGTTAAGTATTATTGATTGCAATGAAAAGTACCTAAATAACTTCAAATGAAACTATTAGCTTCATGAAAGTGATGACCATGAAATATGATATCAGTATTATATTCCATCAAATCATAACAGTATTCCCAACATAGCAATAACTAACTAGGTATCTAACCTACCAGATATCTTTACAATTAAGTTTTTCTTCTATTATGGTAATTCCTATTTTTTTATAATTCCATATATTTCCTTGTATGTTTTCCTATTTTGAACAATAAAGTTTTTATGGGCAATGGATACAATAAAAATATACCATTTTCCAATGAAAAAATTCAATCAAAATCTTGAAACATCATTTTTTAGAATTTCAAACAAATGCACAATGCAACTGGTGAGTATACTTTCCCTATTTTGAACATTATCGACCTTTTATCATAACCAAATGGAGTTTAATAAAGTCTGCCTGTAATATTCTGAATATGGCAGAATTTCAAAAAGGAAAAGAGAAATGGATTATAATAATTATTGTTCTCTATAATTTCTAGGTTGAAGGCTGGTTTATAGAAAATGCAAAAAAATTTATGTTCTTTTTTATCAACTCTCTTTCCATATTTTATTCTTGTCTCTTATGTATCTTGATTATTTATACCTGGTGTCGACGAATCTATTAGACAAGTCATAGCATCTAGATCATAAGGTGTATCAAAATGAGATTTGGTATAGGTTAATGGTATGTGAAGAGGAGAGTTTTCACATATTTTTCACTTTCCGGTCACTTCCTGTTTCATCGGAAATGGCTACGGTTCTAAATTTTTGAATGGAACACCCTGTATATTGTAAAATTTTTAGATTTCTGAGAGAATTCTAGATCAGAATGTGAAATTTCGAAAGTTTGTATGCCTACTTAATTTTTTCGGGGTCACTTTTGAAATTACATCTAGGTGGCCATGATCAGTAGTAAACTAATATATGGACCTCAGATATCAGAAAATTACAATCGCGAAGTTTTAGTGACAAGTATAATAGATATGAATAAGACAAGTTGGCAAAATTACATTTTCTTGTCTAACTATTATTTTTCAAATGGTGACCATTGTTTGACAAGCACTTTCCGAAAAAAGGATATTTTGATGAATCTAACGATACTTATTTATTTGCGATTGGATTACAAATAAGAACATAAATTAAATTCAATATTACTGACGAAAATACTCCATAATAATTTATTTACTTTTGTCAAGTGTGCCATGGATAATAATTCATTTACTTTTGTAAGCACTTCCCGAAAAAGTATATTTTGACGAATCTAACGATAGGTACTAATTTATTTAAACAAATTTGTTGTTGATTTTGTTGGGCCCAGTACCAAGAATTTTGCTTATTAAACAAGACATTATTTGTAAATCGTGATTCGTCGGAAAATAGAATGAAGTTGATAAAATTTGGGTTAACTGAGTTAACTCTATGATTTTGAAGCAACCAATCACAAAACACTACTCGTCTATCGCCATCGTCAGCATACAAATATTGATGTGACTGATATTTGAATGCTCGATATCCGTGCTTTTTCAATATTTTTCTTGCCGTTTTGTCAACCTCAACCATATCAAGAACGTTAATCTCAGTCTTCTCATTTATGATAAACCTCTGTTCTGCCTATCGATTTCCCTCTTGCCTAAAACGATTCTCAACATACGGAAAATACTGATGGGATGGATGTTGCCGATTGGGATATCTCTGAGCATACAACTCAGCAGCATTCCTTGAATTCCTTAGACAATCTCCAAACAATAACAACATTTTCACTTTGAGTATACATTATTTCGACGGAAAATTAAACTAGAAAATTTTACCTTCTGCTCTTGAAGCTTATGTTACTGTCATAACCTACGTGATTTGTTCTCCCAAGAAGACTTGATCGAAATAACTGCGAAATATTATGCATCATGCCTATCCCCGGCACACTTGACAAAAGTCCCTACATAAATTATTATGAAGTATTTTCCTCAGTAATATTCAATTTATGTTCTTATTTGTAATCCAATCGCAAATTAATCAGTATCGTTAGATTCGTCAAAATATCCTTTTTTCAAAAAGTGCTTGTCAAAAAATGGTTGCCATTTGGAAAATAATAGACACGAAAATGTAATTTTGCCAACTTGTCTTATTCATATCTATCATACATGCTGTCAATGAAGATCTTGCTGAAATCACAGCCTGGGGAACAAACAACCTAGTTGAATTCAACGCCACCAAAACTCAAGCCAGCATTTTCTCTAGAAAGGCGGAACTCAGTATGCCCGATATTTTAATGTCTGGCTCCACCATCCCCACCAAGCCCACCATATCTATGCTCGGTATTTCCATCAGCAACACTCTTTCATGGGATAATCATGTCAGATTCATCGCAAAAGCTGCTTCCCAAAAACTCGGATTCTTGTTCCGTGCGAAAAGCTACTTTACACCTCAACAGCTTCTCATGATCTACAAAGCGCAGATACGGCCTGTTCTAGAATACTGTTCCCACATATGGGGTTCAGCACCAAAACATACGCTGATGCTCTTAGATTCCATCCAGAGAAGAGCCATTCGCCTGGTGGGTGACGCCACACTCACTCACTCTTTGACATCATTGGAACACCGTAGAAAGGTCGGCGACCTCCCACTTTTCTATCGATTCTTCCACGGAAAATGTTTTTCGGAAATCTCTGCTATCATCCCTCCACTAGCAATACCAGTCAGACGAACTAGACAAGCCCAGTCAACACATCCTTTCGTTGTCAACCTCGAAAGATGTCGAACAGCACTTTATCAAGACTCCTGCTTCATCCATAGAACGTCTAGGCTCTGGAATTCATTGCCTGTGGAAGTGTTCCCAACAACATATAATCTCCAAAAGTTCAAAAAAAATTCCAATACCTACCTCCTGTCCCTATCATCCCTAGGAACGCACGATGTTCTTTGAACATTATAGGGATTCCCTCTCGTGCGCTCCAAGCGATAAAAAAAAAATACATGTCACTAAAACTTCGCGATTGTAATTTTCTGATATCACCTGAGGTCCTTAGATTAGTTTACTTCCGATCAGTGCCACCTAGATGTAATTTCAAAAGTGACTCCGAAAAAATCAAGTAGGCATACAAACTTTCGAAAATGTCACATTCTGATCTAGAATCGTCTCAGTAATCCAAAAATGTTACAATTTACAGGGTGTTCCATTTAAAAATTTAGAACCGGGGCCATTTCCGGTGAAACCGGAAGTGACCGGAAAGTGAAAATAATGTGAAAACTCTCCTCTTCACAAAGCATTTACCAATACCAAATCTTATTTTGATACACCTAATGGTCTAGAAGTTATGACTTGTCTAATAGATTCGTTGACACATGGTATATATATTTTGATTATTTCTATTTAATTTGTGTATCTTCATAGTGAAAAAATATTTTTTATACATGTATTAATTCATCTCTTTCACACACAGGTCACTAACCTATGTAAATGAGATACAATTTGTAACTAATTTTTCATGAAAATCTGTATGTTTTACTTGATTGTATAAATAAATAAGGAAGCAAACAGGACAAGTTGAAGCAATATGGTATTTTCCTATACTTATACAGAAGAAATAAGCAGTTGGTTCAGTTGGTTGTCTACCCTTCCAAAGATTTTTGTTGATTTTTTCCAGGCCTGCTGAACTTCAGTTTTACACCAGTGTTGCCAGCATTGTTGTTCAAATTCCAGCCACTCTCCTGATGGTCGATTTGACAGCAGGGAATACCATAGGAGGCAAACTAGTGTTCTGTTTCATCCTCAATGGAATATTTTTCCATTTCCAAAGCATCACAGCTTACGTGCTCATGGACTATATTAGTCCAGTTACACATAGGTAAGACCAACGAAAAATATCTTCCAGCTTTCTGGTTATAATTGTCGCCCAAAGAATTATGTATGAAGAAGTTTATTGTCCAGAAACATTGCACAACTTGAGTACCTAAAGTGTACCTAAGTTTGGGATGATTTTTATCACTGAATGTCGATTTTAGGGACCGGGGGATTCAGGGCCGGACTGAAGGTAAAAAACGGGCTGGGCGTATTTCCCAAAGCAAGCCAACTTACCTGTCAAAAAGTGTGCGTTGCACGCGTTTTTTTTTCTCAAATTTTAAGGTCGACTGCTCAATATATGCGATGTTAAAATATTGACCACCAAAAATATCGGGACTTCGTTGAGTAGTTGAATGATAGATGAAGCAGAAATAATACACTTTTTTGATACCAAGAACAATAAACAAAATATAATAAAACTAATGAACATAAAACAGGCGCATATACATGAGCTTTGTTCCATAGGGGGGGAGGGGGTTATTCATGCCACGGGGGTGACAGAAATAAAAAAAGCGCCGTAGGCGAAATATTTTGTTGTTCAAGGTCATTTGCCTTCAAATTGATAGTTATAGTAGAAGATCCGAACCTACATCGACCTTCACCGAGCTGATAATAGAACGAAATATATTTTATCATGAATTTAGTATATTAGAAAACATATTGAAAATGGGTTGGCTAAAAAAATCCTGGGCAGACTATTTTTAATTATTTTTCGAAAAAATTATTTTTAATCAAATGTTGCAACATCAGGATAATAAAAAAATTGTGTCCTGACTGAGTATAAAAGTATAAAACGTATAGAATGTGCAGCCGTTGGGTTGTATACAATTTACCTGGGCGAACTACTGGGTTGTCAGGTAAACACAGGTATATCGATGCCAGTTACTTTCACTGGATTGGATAATTCAAAAAAATTTATATCATCATAAGCGCTGTTTAATTGCGAACACGTGAATTTTAAAGATTTTAATTTCAACGCGCGTGGAAGTGTGTGACAGAGAGATCCGAGGTAAGTATACTGTGTAATAATAAAGGACCCAACATCGCAGTCGCTTGTGATGGGACCCTGAATAGTAGAAAGTGCGCATGCTCGGTGTGTAAACTATGGAGGGTAGAGGTACCTCTACTACCCTTCATATAGTAAACAGTGCGTGTTATTTTGGAGCAACTGATATTTCAGTAGCAAAAAAAAAAATTTATTAATTACATAATAATTAAATATATTTAATATAATACTAATATATAAAAACAATATAATATCAATATATTGCGTTATAACCATAATGATATATCTATAATCTATAATAGACAATAAAAATATCAAATACTTACTTTGAAATTTTTTTGCTCTTTCTGGAAATAGAAACAAAGTGGACCGCCAAAAATTTGAATTAAGAAATAACAAAAAAGATAGACTAGACATCTTGTATTACGATTTAAAATTTTATTAAAAAACAGTATAAATACAAAAATAATATTAATGAAAAATAAATTCTAATAAATATTTTCTATTCAATATCTGATTCATCAGAAGTATCATTTTGACTCTCGAATTCGTCTGATTCATTAGATTCTTCCTCATTTGCTTCCATTTCGACAATGTCCTGGATTTTCAAAGGAGTTTGATCTCCGATAAAACCTGTTGGTTTTAAGAAATCATCAAAATGCCAACCATAGTTTTCAGGATTTGACTTCGCACACTTCGCACACTTTCTACTATTCAGGGTCCCATCACAAGCGACTGCGATGTTGGGTCCTTTATTATTACACAGTATACTTACCTCGGATCTCTCTGTCACACACTTCCACGCGCGTTGAAATTAAAATCTTTAAAATTCGCAAACCCCTAATAGGACCGGAATTTTCGCAGACAACCCTATATCAACGTGTTCGCAATTAAACAGCGCTTATGATGATATAAATTTTTTCAAATTATCCAATCCAGTGAAAGTAACTGGCATCGATATACCTGTGTTTACCTGACAACCCAGTAGTTCGCCCAGGTAAATAGTAGACAACCCAACGGCTGCACATTCTATACGTTTTATACTTTCAGTCAGGACACAATTTTTTTATTATCCTGATGTTGCAACATTTAATTAAAAATAATTTTTCGAAAAATAATTAAAAATAGTCTGCCCAGGATTTTTTTAGCCAACCCATTTTCAATATGTTTTCTAATATTCTAAATTCATGATAAAATATATTTCGTTCTATTATCAGCTCGGTGAAGGTCGGTTAAGGTTCGGATCTTAGACTATTAGGTTTGCCAGATGGGTATCATAAACGTGGGTAGAATGAAATTCACCTAAACATTTGAATTTCCTAATAGCCACAAAAATCGAATTTTGCCGTCAAGTTTACACGACCTAAAAAAATGATTGAGTGTTATATTCGGTAAGACAATTGAATGAATACGTAAATCACATTATTGTTGATGGTTTTTCAAATTTCTCCACTAGAAGACTCTCCAAATCGCGACATTCCACAGATTAGATACTTCTCTGACAAAGCAAGTTTTAGAAAAAATTATATAAAAACCATCAAAGATTTTGAAAAGGAATATTCTCAGATAAATTATGAACATACAAAAATGGATATATATTTATATAAAGCAATACATTGAGAATTCGCATTCTCTATGTGATGAGAATATTTACTCTTTTTCAGTTAATTCAATAGAAAACAACTACTTTCCTGGCTATATGCCACGACGAACATTGAATTACATCTATTGAACACACACGATAAGAGTTTGAAAATAAAATATAAAAATTTCTGAAATTGAGAATTTGCATTCTCCTTCAGACAAAAATATGTATATACACACATCATTCTGAATATTCAACAGAAAACAACTACTTTCCTGGCTATTTGCCACGTCGAACATTGAATTATATCTGATGAACATTCAAAAGGGGAACATGAAAAATAAAGAATGAAATCCTCCGAAATTGAGAATTGACATTCTTCTTCAAATCGGATGAATAATATGATGAATAATGATCTAGAAATATGACTTACCAATATATTCAGCATCGAAATGAAAATTGGAATGTATAGGAGAAGTATACTGGCATGAACTCTGATCTTGATGAGCTTGAAAACGTCCAAAAATAATCATTCATATCAGTGATATGGGAAATATTATCTCTCACACACAGGTTATATGACTTTATTGCAATGAACCCATTTCGGATCTCTGAATCCTCATCAGTAACCATGATGTCCACTTATGCTTACAGCCATTCTTCATGATATACACAATTTTCATCTCTATATAATACAACTAAAATCGAGTAAAACTATAACGAAATGACATCTGAGAAATTTGTTGACATTCTATTCCTGTCATTTGGACGTTTTTGCTTTTGGGTGTATGATAAATTGACATTCATCATACAGGGCGTGGAAATGAATTCTGAATTGAGACTCTATCACGAATCTGCGATTAGAGGTCTATAAAAATCACAAGTTTCCATCGTTCAAGTTTGAACCCCCTGATTGGGTATGAAAGTGTTGAAAAGGAATATTCTCAGATAAATTATGAACATACAAAAATGGATATATATTTATATAAAGCAATACATTGAGAATTCGCATTCTCTATGTGATGAGAATATTTACTCTTTTTCAGTTAATTCAATAGAAAACAACTACTTTCCTGGCTATATGCCACGACGAACATTGAATTATATCTATTGAACACACACGATAAGAGTTTGAAAATAAAGTATAAAAAAATTTCTGAAATTGAGAATTTCCATTCTCCTTCAGACAAAAATCTGTATATACACACATCATTCTGAATATTCAACAGAAAACAACTACTTTCCTGGCTATTTGCCACGTCGAACATTGAATTATATCTGATGAACATTCAAAAGGGGAACATGAAAAATAAAGAATGAAATCCTCCGAAATTGAGAATTGACATTCTTCTTCAAATCGGATGAATAATATGATGAATAATGATCTAGAAATATGACTTACCAATATATTCAGCATCGAAATGAAAATTGGAATGTATAGGAGAAGTATACTGGCATGAACTCTATTGAATTAACTGAAAAAGAGTAAATATTCTCATCACATAGAGAATGCGAATTCTCAATGTATTGCTTTATATAAATATATATCCATTTTTGTATGTTCATAATTTATCTGAGAATATTCCTTTTCAACACTTTCATACCCAATCAGGGGGTTCAAACTTGAACGATGGAAACTTGTGATTTTTATAGACCTCTGATCGCAGATTCGTGATAGAGTCTCAATTCAGAATTCATTTCCACGCCCTGTATGATGAATGTCAATTTATCATACACCCAAAAGCATCAAAGATTTGTTTGCAGTTTTGGTTGTCATGCATTCAAATGTTTAATTTCCGTTCTGTTGCTGGAAAAGTTAAGGTAAATTTTTTTTGCTGTCATAATGACACAAAATCACAGCGGCTCACGAAATGTTATGTACATAAATCAAATTGTCACAATGAAAAAATACATTTCACGTTGCAGTTTTGGAATTGTTCGGCGTGTAATGGCATCGGCTGACGCCTACATTACGCCATTGATACATAAATAACTATTTCAGAAGATATTAATATAAAAGCCTCCACGTGATCTTGGGGCAGACATTTTCATACTCTATTTAAAATTAATTTCGATATAGAAAAGTACTTGCAAAAACTTCACAAACGATAAGATTTCCACAAAATTCTCCAGCACATGACATGTTTCGCTAACACAGTAGCTTCCTCAGGTGATATACTGGTACAATGAACTGTTTAACTGTTCAACAGAATATATTTTTAATGAAGAATTCTGATACAAACGAATATTGTTTGAATAATTGTGATACAAAATTCGAAAATAACAGTTGACAGTTAATACCATTGACAGGCCAGACATGTCTCAAATTACTGAAGCTGTATTTAATGAACTGCGTTGCCATGGTAATGTGTTTAAGAAATCGTGTTGCCATGGTAATGTGTTTAATATTTCGAATAATTCACAGATCGACAAGCCCTGATTAATCGATCATTTAGCGTGGTACATATCCGTACGCAAAATGCCATTTTAGTTATGTGAGTAGAAAAATATAGTTATTTTTGTATCTAGAGCGCGAAATGCTACTTTGGTGATCAAGATCCGATTTTTTAAAAATAGTGAGTGCAGGTGCGGCACGAAACTCTGCAATTGTTTTTGGATGAACTTCACTTCCGGTGCATCATTCACTTTTTCTCATTTCAGTGTGGCCAATACTGCAAAACGAGCCTTCCTGATTTGGCTGTCGATTCTCATGTTTGGGAATCCCATAACTGTTCTCAGCGGACTGGGAACCATAACTGTGATAGCTGGTGTTCTGTTGTACATAAAAGCGCATGACTACGATAATGACAAAATGAGTTCTGGTAACCTCATACACAGAAAGGTTAGGGCAATTTAGCAGGTATAGGACAGATGATTGTTGTTGTTATGTATGGTAAAAGTGATTGAAACATATTTTATATAGTTAATCTTGAGCTATTGAGAGGGTATCACTGAAACTTGAAATGCTCTCTTCTGTATCTTGGTGAATTCTGACAGTTTTTGTGATTTTTTCCACAGACGAATATTATTTCGGAAAGTGGCCTATGATTTTATTAAATAGGTCATTTTTTCTGTGACGGTAAAATAGTTTGACATTTCATCTCTGTTGACAGGTTAGAAAATGTAACTTTCAATGAATTGCTTGAGTACTTTGATGGCTTTTCTTGTCTCCGTCTCCGAGAAAGAACTCCCCAGGTAGCCACTGGCGAAAATTACGTCTATAAGACCGCTAATTCTGGTCAGGTTTGGTCCCGTTCTTCACTTATCCAAATCATGACGTCAAAAGAACGTCGTCTTTTCAACGTCACATGGACGGCAACTATTGGACGTCTTACGGACGTCATTATCTGGACGTGTTAATTTTATATAGAGTGTTGTCATTTGTACCTCGTTACAATGTTGCCATCTCTACGATTTTCAATTCTATTATTTTGGTGATTAATGAATATTAAAATTCAAGAATGATAATTGCACTATAAATAAGTGGGCCACGGTCGATGGTACCTTAGACGTATACGGAAAACGGTACATTGGATTATCCTGAAAATTTGGTTACTCTAATAAGCGTTTGTGATCTAACGATTCAAAATATTTTCAGCGAAGCAGCGTTGCCACTTTTACCGAAAAGTAGCATCATCTTTGTTATTTCAAACACCCTGTATTTTATTGCGTTTTTAGATTCTTCTCGAAGAGCTGATTTGATCAATGCATCACACTTGGGGTCTATCAGGAATTATTACAGAGATATAGGGTGTTCAAAATCGAGATTTTTCAACTGTAGGATTTTTTTGTGTCGAAACTATTCATCATTGGTCAAAACGGCTCACATGTCCCTATATTAACTTTTGATTAACTATCTACCGACATTTAATTGGAAAAAATACAGGATGGTCCAAGATTCAGAATTTTGATCACCCTGTATCTGTTCCAATTAAATGTCAGTAGATAGTGAATCAAAAGTTAAGATACGGACATGTAAGCCGTTTCGATAGATAATGAATAGTTTCGACACAAAAAATTCCTGAAATTGAAAAATCTCGATTTTGAACACCCTATATCTCTGTAATAATTCCTGCTAGACCCCAAGTGTGATGCATTGATGAAATCAGCTCTTTGAGAAGAATCTAAAAACGCAATGAAATACAGGGTGTTCCATTTGAAATAACAAAGATGATGCTACTTTTTGGTAAAAGTGGCAACGCTGCATCGCTGAAAATATTTTGAATCGTTAGATCACAAACGCTTATTAGAGTAACCAAATTTTCAGGATAATCCAATGTACCGTTTTCCGTATACGTCTAAGGTACCATCGACCGTGGGCCATCCTGTGGATTCTGACAAAATGTGGGGGCAAAGATACATGTCATCAGCTGTGACGCCAACTGTAAATGTCTGCTCATTTTATTTCTAGGTAGAGACGATACTTGTTCGTCTCAATGTTGTATTTCGTGATGAACAGCCACAAAGAAATACTGTATTGTGGCTTTAATGAATTTTCCTGTGGAATCCCTATCTCAATAATAGTTATCATATCATGCATATGACCCTCAATTTCAATACCGTCGTCACACGAGAGCATGATAGGATATTTAATTTTATTCAGTGGTCTCCAATGAAGTCAGAAACAGAATTTATTTGGAAGCGAAAACCTTCAAGATTATTTATATTTTCTGGCTTGTGTATGTGTGTTCGAAATCTGGCAACACCGCGGGTTGTCGGCATTTTTTTGTGCGGTCCGTTTGACGGGATGGTTCCTCATTCAATAATAATCGACGCGTCCATGCCAAAACGGCACAAATGCCATCGAGTCAACTTTACAGGAGAGACTAAAAACTGATTAACTTCATTCGTAATTGCCACACAAGTCTGCTGGATGTCTTCAATGGAAGATTGATTTTTTTCATTATTTTTGATGAATGTGCCAGTCCATACTAGGTACAATGTGTTTATGCCAAAAGTGATACTGGCGTTTGTGTCATCCAACATTCAAGGTTTTGCTCGAATTGCCGCTTATACAGTTGATATGCCAAGTTAAAATTGATGTGTGTGATTTCTCATGTGTGTCGTTTAATAAGGAATAATGAGGAACTTCCTCTACAACAACTTTTTGCAGCAGTACATTTTCCACATAATCCAAATCTTCTCGTTCAGAAGTACTGAGTGGCTCAGTTGGAAGTTCTCCAATATTATGTTGAGGCATTATGATATTTGAATCGTCAAAAAAATCTTTCTGGACTTGATTATCCAGTTCTCGAAAGATGATACCATTACTCAATACTTCTGTTAGCATACTATCACAATTTGAAATGTCATTTGAAACGGTATCACAATTCGGAATGTCATTCGAAACGTTATCACAGTTTGAAGAGTTAGTTGAAACATCATTGCAGTTTGAAACCACTTGATTTTCAGTTTCTTTCAATGCCATCAACAGAATATGTTTGCTTCTAGATATGTTCATCTGCAAAGTAAGGAAACGGCATAAGCGCCAAATATCAATCGCAGTTTTGAAGCTGTTCTATTTGAAATTGATTATCAACTTCCTACTGACATATCAAGCGACGATAGGTTTACAGTAAAACATAAAAAAATTATGAATAATTGTATTTAAACATGTTTTTTCGATGTAAGGATAATGCATGTGATTCGCTATAAGCGATGGCATTTATGCCAAACAAGTTCTCATGATACTGTTTTGGCATCAACGCCTCATATTTTTTCCTCAAAAACTACGATTTTGGGTGATAAATACGTCATTTGAACTAGAAATACATGCAGATAGTTCAGCGGAGTAATGTGATCAACTTCCATCAATCAAATATCACTTACTGTGATCTCACAAGCGAAACACCTCACCCCATTGAATGCTTATGGGTAACTGGCTTTTGTGCCGTTTGATTATCATTGAATATGGTCGAATTGGCGCTTGCGCAAATTTAAAATACAAGAAGAGACAGAAAAAAGTATTTACGAATATATGCCGTTTTGACCATTGGATGCAGCATGTGAATACCTATTATTGAGTGGCAAAAAGTGAGAAGTGACCATTTTGGCGTTTGTGCCGTTTTGGCACGGACGCGTCGATATGTTCTGGTGTTTTGTTTTGATACACGGATTTTTGATCTTTTTGGTGATGTTTTCTGTTATCCACATCGATGATAGTGGAAACAACAGGGGCTGTTGTCAAGGAATAGTGGTTGATTCTTCTCATGATAGAAGACATGTGTTTTGGCCGCCATTTAAAAGACAGTAAAAACTATAAACGTGTCTTCTGTGACGGTGAACTAACCCCTCGATTTCTTTATGAAATCATCGAATATTTCTTGTTATCTCATCGAGAGTTTTGGTGAAATAAAGTGAGCTTTGTTAATTCCAAATATGTTTCAAATGGTCTGTATTTGAGTGGGGTATATGAGCTCTGAATAATTGTTATTCCTAAAATGTTGAATATATCATTTGAAAACTAGATTTCCTCTCATTACATTGTTCCTCATTCAAGTGATGATTATTAAAACGAGAAGTTTGGGCATATTTTTCTAAGAATAGACGTCTCTATGACGTCCAAAACTAGTAAATAACGTCAGCTTCAAGTCATAATTGAACACTGCATTGACGTCCAAAAGACCCAAAAAGTGACGTCATTTAGCTGTGACTTTCTTACGTCATTCAGCTGTGACTTACTTACGTCATTTAGACGTCAGTTTGGATAGTATAAAATACGTATTTTGGCCGAATGTCATGCTGTCTTTTAGACGTCATATAGTCACCATGTAGGTACTACCTGAGTGCAAGTCCTTTTATCCTCCATTCCACTTCGCGGTTACGTAAATCACTAAACAACTGCTGAATTCGCAATTTTTTGAAATCAAATCAATCAAAAAGAATGATAAAGATGTCTTCAACGCAGATGTAATTCCTGTTGAAACCTTCTTTTTTTTTGGTCAACGTTCATTCTGGTCAATGATCATTGATGAACTCAATAAATAAGCCAAGTCTCGTAGGCGATTGCATTCGCATTCTCTGAAGACCACCCTGTAAAAAGGCTATTGCATCTTCTCCGTTCCCTTGAAACATACTTCCTTCAACCAATCTCAATAACTCCCCACCCCATATCTAATCTTCATTTTGGGGATCCATATCACGAGATTTTCATATTATCCATTGGGCTCCGCAATCTCGAAATCTCGAGAGTTGGGACAATGGAGTCTTTTACTCAGAATGACTTCAGCTACAACATATCAACAATCCAGCCATTTTCACCGGATGACATTTTCCCATATAATGTGGTGCGTGGTCCTTTCACGTCGATAATTTTCTGATTTTTTTTATTAGCAATATAATGTAATATCTTCTCAATTATGATTCGTCCTTTTTCCTGTCACAGAAAAAAAACAGATTTCAGCTCACAGTTTTTCGTCTCCTTGCTCTATGCGTTGGGAGGTAATACAACCTCGAGCTAATATCTACAACTCTTTTTCCTTGTATAATAAAATAACTATATTTAGAGGGGTTCGTAAGGCGCATGTGCTCATATTCAGAACCAATTTTCGATTCGATATCGCGAAGGTGAAATGTCATTCATTCGCTGGTTTAAATGCCACAGCCATTGATTGGTACATTTTAAAAATTGGCCGTATCAAGGCCCCAATTAACGACACTGTCCCAATCATCGACATATTTGAACTAAAAAAATTTGAAATTTGGCATTATGAAATTGATGCATGAATACTTTATTTTGGAGAATGATGGAAAGTAAGATATGGTGTAATTACTGATGCGCTTTCGTTTCAGAAATTTCACTCGACCTCTCGAGAACAGCGAGAGCAATGATTCCGTCGATCTTCTAATAGATGGCGACATTGCACAATTATGACATCGGTCAATTTTTTAAATTGCCGCAGATTTTTCGAACTCAGAGTTAAATAATACCACTGTTACATATGTTCCGCGTACCTAAAATGCAATTTGCCTTTTCATTTCCACTCGTCACAGCAGCAATTGCAGCATTACCATCTAGCGGAAAAATGTAGAATCAATTTCTCGCTCGATGTGACGTAGAGAAATCATAGTAGGAGGTCGAGTGATTTTTCTCAAGTTTTCAATACGTAGAAATGGCCGACTACGCACACCATCTACTTATTTCCATCATTTCTTGGGGTAACATTGATAGATGAACATTTCAAGATGGCGACTGGGCGCCATCTGGGAAATACAATTTAAATGGATTGGGGGGTCGCGTGACACACCCTTTTGAAGCCCCTGACGAATGGCGAAACCTTAAATAATGCCTGAAGAAATCGACGTTTAACTTCATTATTTAAAGAAATAAGCTGAGTTCAGTTCAGAAAATGCTCGAAATGGTTGCCTTGAAATTCTTGGCATGAGAACAGCCTTTCCGATATTTCACGCCGAATACTTTCGAACACAGTTAGTTATATTTCTAAATGGCCCAGTCGCCATCTTGAAATTTACATCTGTGAATTTTACTTCATAAAATGAAAGGGGGAAGGACATTAAAGGAAAGCATTGTATAATCACGATATATTATAACTTCACAGGTATATCGAGGTATGTAGAAGTTCTGTACTTACCTATAGGTATCTTCAATTTCCATCTGAGTATTTCATCCTTATGTTTGAATCTTAATGTTGAAGCCTTTTAAGTTTCAAGTCCCATTAGTTATAAAATTTCTTACATTACATTCACAGGATCACTTACAATTGATTGTTTTTGAGATAATGGTATGTAAAAAATACTGTTTTCAGTACAAACCTCAATAGTAACTGAGGTACAAACCTACAATTGAATTACCTAATTAAAAATCATATTCTAGTTGAATCTGCTACTAATTCAAAATATAGGCGAATATTGGTGTGATAGTAATTTACGTAACAAGTCCGAAAAATACTGTTTTTTTGAACGAGTAGACAAAATTCTTGGCCGAGCCGTAGGCGAATCCTGGAAGTCTGCGAGTTTTTGGACGTGTAGCGTACAATATTTTTTCGGCAACCATGTAGAATAACAAATCAATGAGACATATTTCCATATTATATTTCTTTGTGGAATACAATTTCTCCTCTAGTAATTCTCATTATTTGTATCAAATACTGAAATTTGAACAGAATACCGATACCTACTAACTGTTACATTGGAAATTTCGAATCGACATTTTCAAAATTACTATTGCAGTTGCTTTCGATAGTTTATCCAACCAAACTTTCAAAAATCAAAATGTCAACTAGTTTCATGTCAAATAGCTGTCAGAGCCGATATTTCGCTTTTATGGAAATTATCATCTGCGTTTATCAAAACCATATCTACCAAGATTTTCATAGTTACAGTGACCGGCTTAGTCCGGGAAGTGCTCACTTCTCGGACGGTTGCCGAAAAACTTAATTAATTAAATGCCCCTAAAATTCCTTTTACTTCATAATTTTTTACAGTGCAAACTTAATGACATATTTGAACTCGTATTTGAAGGACTTGTTGGCAAATCAGATGACAAATTACCCTCGAAATTACCTGTCCCATAGTAAAACAACCTCTCCATGATATGAGAATAATATATATACAAATCATGAAGCATTTTAAAAATTGCTTAGTTCTATATTAAGTTTTTCAGTTTTTCTCATTTGAAGCTCGGTGAATCTGATGTATTATTATTTTCATTGAGCATCACATCATCTCAAGTAAATAAAAATTGTTCCCATTTTTGTATCTTCCTTCCTGGAATAGACATATTCATCTTCTCAAACTATTATACTGCCCTTTATAATATATATAATTATAATTCTGTGGAGCAATACAATATCTGCATTCTTATTCCCCAACAGGGGATTTGGTAAATCATTAAACTTATTTTGGTTTGCTGTAAGATAATATGAGATTATAGTATGAAGACTACTATAATACATCATTTGATGAAAATTGTGATATATTCTTCTCGGCAATTCAAAAATTTCATTTCTTTGTTGACCAATTTTGGTTCAATAGCTCAGTGAAACGGTAACGACAAAGATCTTCTGGTAGAAAAAATCAAGTAGTCGGTTTCTAAGCGGTTTCAATGTTTTTGGGGGGGCTGAATCTGAATATGAAATTTGCAAACAAAATTTCTTGGAGTGTTCGGAGATATTCTCCAAAAACAGCGTGATTTTCGCACTTTTTTCAGTTTTTTGTCCGTCACTCGGAAATACCATGGCCAGGACTCCTCCACATTAGTCAGTAAGTAGTTTGTTTCTTCTAGAAATGCATAGACCGATCAGCGTACATACATTTGTATGTACAGGGTGGCCAACTAAGACTCCAGAGTTCGATTTCTCTGTTGTCTTGAGAGATACAAAAAAAAGTTTTGCATTCAAATTAAAGTGATAACCGAGCTTCACATTTTAAAATTTCTTTGAAATACACAGGGTGTTCGGTAAGGTAACAGCACATCAATGCTATGTTTTTTTTATTGGAACACCCTATATTTTATTTCATTTTTGAATTCTTCCTGAAGAGCTGATTTTAACGTCTCATCATACTTGGGGTCTAGCAGTAATATTTACTGAGATAAAGGGTGTGAAAAATCAAGATTTTCCAAGTTCAGGACCTTTTTGTGTCGAAACTATTTATTATTCGTCAAAACGGTTTACATGTCCCTATCTCAACTTTTCACTCACTATCAATTTGTGCTCAATTGAAAATGATACAAGGTGGTCATAAAATCTGCATTTACTGCAACTTTTTATAGGATAGTCTTTTCGCTAAAATGTTTAGTTCCTGAGTATCGGACAAAAAATTGCGAAAGGTGCCAAAATTTCACTGTTTTTTGCTCGGAACGCTCGAGAAAATTTAGTTTGCAAACTTCAGATTCAGATTCAGCCTCCCCAAAAACATATAAATTCATTATTCTTCAATTTGTTGATGATTTTTCTCGAGATTTAAAAAAAAAGACAAATTTGAGGTTATCAGCTGACTACAAAATGATTATTGAACAAATTTGTACATATCAAGAAATAGGGTGGGCCGAGGGGTAGGTACAGGGTGGCTGGAATACGAGCATCATCATTGGGATCTCGTAAACCGTAAGAAGATACAAGGTCGGTTAAATTGATAACGAAAAACCCCGAAATTTCCTAAAATCATTTTTCTTCAATTTATTTGGAGAATTATCGAAATGAATGACACTTCATCATTGCCACTTTTTCTTCCCTTCTTTTAACTCCGACGTTTCGTCTTCCAGATACCATCATCATCTTATTTTTTTTAAATACAGATCTGGATTTGTTATTTGGAATGTTTTGTTTACAAAAATTGAGAAAAATAGAGAAAATGTCAATTTTTGTAAACGAAAAAAATTAGTTGATGATGGTTCCTGGAAGACAAAACCTCAGATTTGTTAGGCATTGAATTGCCCAACTTTGCCATAATTCAACCGACCCTGTATATCTTACGGTTTACGAGATCCCAATGACGCGGCTCGAATTCTAGCCACCCTGTACAAGTGTACAGTTAAGTGTACGTATTATTTTTTTAAAGGCGTTTGTGTGACAAAATATTCCATTCCATTAATTCGTGTACTTAATTATTTATATATTTTTTTCTTGTTGCATGTCGAAATGGAGGATATTCCTCTATTTATTTTGTTTGGAAAATGTAAGGTGCTAGTCGGAAAGTTGTCATAAATTTTATATCCAATTTGTTACCTCTGTAGTGATATTTTTTGATAAAAAAATTGATGTATTCATATTGTTTCAAATAAACGGTTTTAAAAAATCTGGCACCTGCAGGGGTGGTGTTTATTGAAACAATCCAAGAAAAATTGAAACATTTTACTACCCTATTATTTACAATACCAAAGTAAGATGTCGGAATTTCAATAAATTACAAAAGTAGAGGATAATCATGGGAAAAACATTGGCACATAGCCTGGTTCATTCTTAAACAAATTATTTTATGACGAAAATTCACACATATACCTATTGAAAATATTCCTTTTCGGTGTTACCCGAATGAATTAACATTTGACAGTTCATTTGCTGAGAATTAAAAGTATTGAATTATTTTTTGTAAGAAAGCGATTGAAACAGAAGTTTTTTACATTTACTATGGATTTCCATCAATATGGGAAACGGTCAATGCAATAGAAAATTTAAGAAGATTTCAATATATTTGCGTTCATTTCACAAACGGTTGTACCTACCTGTGATTCAGTAAAAGAAATATGTATTGATCATTCTAGAACACGTGATTTTGACATGGTTTCTTGAGGGGCACACAAACTATCTGTTAGTTTACCTTTGATGAGCATTGCTCTGGCTGTCCCTGCCACATCCACAATATAATAACAGTTCCACCAAACAAAATTATGAAATTCTTTCTGGTTCCAACTCGGATTCCAAGGAAAACGATCCCACTAATTCTGGTTTTATATGACAAATTTTGACAAAATACAATGTTTGCCCCTCAGCAACCTGTCAAATGACGTAATTCTGGAATGATCAATATGTATTCGTATTTGACAAGTCGATGAGATGTCACAATACTAAGTAGGTACTATTATCATTATTCAATTAATGACTGTCATAAGTTGTTGAAAATCGAGCAAGCAATGAATTTATAATTCAATAGTTGTAGATAAAATATATTTATCAGTCTATCGAACTGAGATGACATTAAAACTTGAGTCCAGTGCCCCTATCAATGTTACCAGAACAAATTTTCATGTCTAGAACTATCTCATTTTTCAGGTTAAATCACCGACTAATGTCAACGTTCGATCTAGTCATTTTCCTCTAATGAAGATATCAAACGAGTCCATTCAGTGAATATCGTTGCTGATTTTTGGCCATATTATTTATTTATTTCAAAGTGACGGACGAAGTCAACTTGCTCACTAAATTTTGTACATAATCGGTAGAACTACCATGGCAGAACTCATGAAGAACTGGATATTATTTCTGTCAGAACAAAATGTTTCATAAAAATTGGAAAAAATATGGTACGTATACGTTAGAAAACCCATTTTGTGTAACCCTGAGTTCTGCGGATTCGTTACACATAATGACTCGTTTCCTTACTGGCTACGTAAATATCTATTTCCATAACATCTGCCAGACAAACTATCAAATCTTGATTAAGTTTGATCAATCTTCGGGTTTTACTATGGATTGAACAACCGGCCCCGTAGACTTGGTAATTTTGTGTTGGCAACGCTGACAGGGGTACCGGAATCAAGTATCGTCACTTATTATCAATGAACTCAATATAAACACCTGGAAAAGAGACTGCTGGTTTCTTAAATAGCACAGAGTGTGTCAGAGGCAGCTGCAACAAAGATAGCTTGTGTTACGGTAAAATGTGTCTTTCACACTCGTTTTGTTTAATGGCGGATTGGTGTATCAATTTTTTCTTATCCAATGATTGGTGTACTTGAGATCTTTTTTTTTTTCATCTAAACAGGCAAAAAAGTGAGGAGAGAACTTCATTGTTTTTTATTATATGAAATATCGCTAAATTTTGCGTTTTGTTTCTTCAAAAGGACTGAATTTGTTGATGTGAATTGATTATTGTTGAAAAGATTTGTGATTTCGAACTAATAAACAATGGTTATAAAGACAATCAATCAATCAATCAATATTGTGTTGCCTTTGGATGCAAAAGAAGCAAGACAAACAAAAATTGTCCTCCATGGGAAAGTTGAAAATTGTTTAGATTTTTAAAAATACATAGTAATTTATTATCAGGATGTGTCTGTGGATGTTCATAACTTGGATTCTAAGGAGAATGTGTTTCATATGGACATTGATTTGATTACAACTTCTAGCTCCCAATTAAGTTCCAAAAGTTTATTGATAATGGAACCCACAAACTGTTTCATTCGAGAAGGCATATTCCATTGCAAAGAAAAGTGAACACACTGAAACAAAAAGTAAAAAGAAAAATGACAATCTTGATGAGTACTAAAAAAACATTTTGAAGTTAAAAACGAAGTTCAAATTTTTAAACTCAGAGTTACATCATATATTATCAAATTGTCTTTTCAGGTTTGCCTTTGGAGCTTCTCCTTCTCCAGAAAGGAAAAAATGAAGGTGTTCATTTTGAGCGATGCAGATATTCATCTTTAATGAAAAAATGCATACTAACATTGTCCTTTTATTCACTTTTCATTCACCTTCTAATAGTGAAATGTTTATGGAAAAATAGGTACTCTTAAAGATTAGGCTTAAAATAGACCTTATAGGTACTCGATACCATTGAAGAACATATTTTTAAATTGTTTCTATCGTTTTTCTATTTCTTCTGATAGTGCTGAGACATTGAGCTTCGCTCACCCTGTACAATATTTTGTGACATTTGAATGAGTATATATAATTTCAATTTTGTATTCATTTGCCTTCCGAATTGTGTAAGAATTAAAATGGAATTTCACTTTTGAGTCAATAAAAAAATCAATAATTATTCTCAAATAATAATCGATTGCAACATTATCATTTTTCCTAAATGAATATTTATATTTAAACACCTATACTCTTTAATAAAAACAAGAAAATATTGCATGTAATGCCAGCGCTTCCCTTTAGCCAACATAAGATAGAAGGAGATCAATAGAGAGTTGAAGTAAGCACCACGTCGACGTTAACGTACGAAAAATAACGTTTACGTATTGTCGTTAAATTGAGTTGAAGTCGCCACTTTGGTCGTCACTGTCATCATAACGTAATAATACATTTTGTTTTCGGTTTGTATTGGTCATTTTTGGTTGTGTGTTCAGATTCGAACATTTATTCCTGTCAAAATTAGAGGACTCCTTGATGCAGAACTCGTTGGTGATCTCGAATTTGATAATTTTGACTCATCGGCATATTTCGAGTATAGTTTGGTTAACGTACGTTGATATTTAAGGTATACGTGAAGGAACGTGAGATAACGTACACCCGTAAGCCCACTAACAACGCAAACGTGAAGAATTGGAAAATGCGCATGCGTAGCTGTCAATTTCTACGTTTACGTTAACGTTCATGACAACATTGACAACACTTCAACTCTCTAATATTTTTGCCTCACTCGTCGTTCACAGAGGATCCCATCCAGGTGTTTATATTGAGTTCATTGCTTATAATTGAAGGACTCCAATGTAACCTAATATTAACGTCCGGTGCTATCTGCGCTACAGACCCGATCAGTCTCTATACCATCCTTCACGACCTCCCGACCAAAGTACCCGGCGTCCTAGCTCCCAACCGCCGCCTCCCAGCCAACAACCTGTTGAGCCCCTTCGGCTCCTCCGTCGTAGAACTGCTCGGAGCCGCCTCTGTCTCCACCTCGGCTGCCGTTTCCGCTTCCTCCGTGGACGGTTCCGGTGGCGCCTCGCTAGAGGGCGCTTCGGTCACGTGACCCGGGCGCCTGCGCGCCAGCAGCGGGTTGACGCGGCGCACGTGGACGGGCGCGCTGGCGGCGGCCTTGGGACGGGATTGGAGGGCGTTGGGGCGGTTCTTGTTGCGCAGGCGGGCCAGCGGGGAGGTGTCTACCGGCGCTGGAGACTCTTCCTGTGGAAGGAACGTCGTTTTACAGTATTCACAAAGTCAGTTGAGACATTTTTGTTCATACAGGGTCCGGATGACTCAATAGGGAAATAATTGCTACCTCCTAAACGGTAAGAGATTTTTTCATGTTCTGGTTCCCACGAAAAGGGATATCCTGTAATGTTCAGAAAACATCGTGAAACCAAGAGAAATAAGGTAGGAATTGGCGTTCTTCTTGAATTTCTGGAGGTTATATGCCTCGAGGAACACCTCCCTTGGCAATGGGTTCCAGAGCCTCGTTGTTCGTTGGATGAACGAGTCTTCGGAAAGAGATGTTCTGCAGGTCTCCAAAGTGACCACGAAGGAGTGCGAAGCCTCAACTCGACGGGTTAATCTCGCGGGGACTGTCAAGGGAGGAACAATTGTTGATATTTCAGGAGAGCATCGTCCATGAAAATATCTATAATATAGATCCAGATCGCCAACTTTCTTAGGGTGTTCCAGAGAAGTGAGTGAGTTTGTGAGCGAGGCATCACCCACGAGATGAATTGCCCTTTTTTTGGGCAGAATCCAACAGTTTCAGCATGCTGCACTCCAAATATGGGAACAGTATTCCAGGACAGGTCGGTTCTGTGCCTTATTAATCATAAGCAGCTGACTGAAAGTGAAAGAGCTCCTGGCCCGGAACATTTGGGATTCAATTTTCGCAATTGATCTCACGTGATTTTCCCACGAAAGGTTATTGCTGATAGTAATACCAAGCATCGAAATGGATGGGTATGGTTAGTCCTGACATGCTCATGTTTGGCACAGTGAGATCGGCTTTTCTAGAGAAATGGCATGCTTTTGTTTTGTTTGCAGAAATCTACCAAGTTATTGGAGCCCCATTCGAGAATTGTTGACAAGTCCATATTTATGTTATCAACATTTCTCCCTCGTTCGTTTCTGATTTTCCTGGCTGGTATTGGAGCCCTGGAAAAGAAGGTGGTATGGAGGGTACTATCATCCGCGAAGCTGTGTACTGGACATGAAGTTGATTCCAACAAATCGTTGATATGGAGTAGGAATAGTGTTGGTGCTAGAATTGATCCTTGCGGAACACCAGCATTCATGGTGAGAGAGTCAGATGAAACTCCGTCGACCACTACATGGAGAGACCTGTTTGAGAGAAAACTATCTAGCAGAGAACATAGCTGGGGAGGCAAGCCATAAGATGGAAGCTTGACGAGAAGTCCGTGGTGCCAGACTCGATCGAATGCCTTGGAGATATCAAGTGCCATGGCTAAGGTTTCACCATATTTTTCAATAGATTTCTGCCATATGACTGAAGCCATATTGCCTATCGTTGATAATATCTGAATGTTCCAGGTATTTCATGAGCTCGATGTTGATAGTATTCTCCATGATCTTTGAAATAATAGATAGAAAGTTGATTATATTAGACAAAACTTGCGTAATTTGAACCTCATCAATATGACCAATTATTTAGTGTATCTTCTATCATTTTAAACGTTTCACGTATCAATTTGTTTTGGAATATGTAAGTACCTATGTAGTTTTTCTAATTGGAACTTTGTGACTCGTTTTTCTGTTTGCTCACCTTCTCACTGTCTTCATGTTCGCTCGTTTCCGGCTCTTCGTCGCCGGTCACGTGATCCTCGGCTGGAGCTTCTGTCGTCGAGGTGGTGGTGGTGGTGGTGCTTCCTCTGCCTCTCGCGTTGAGATTGATTCTCGGGCCGGGTCGCAACGGTCTCACAGCTGGACCAGCATTGATCCTTCTAGATCGAGCAGTTGTGCTGAAATGGATATTGTTACAAGATTGAGTTTGTAGAAGTAGAGGCACGATCTGATACCAAGTTAGGTTTCAGACTAAATGACGATAGATAGACATCGCGATTAATTCATAAACAGTATACGACAACAATCCTAAACGCCAAACACGTATTAATGAATGTAATCGCGAATGGTGGAGATAACTGCCTCTTCCGTTGAGATGGGTTCACGGATTGTGTCGGAACGTTCTCACCGCTGGGCCAGCGTTGATTTCTTTTAGATCTAGCAGTTGTGCTGAAACGGATATTGTTACAAGATTGAGTTTGAAGAGGTATAAGCACGTTCTGAGAGTAAACAACAATAGATAATTCATGAATCATGAATCATTAAAATGTATACGCCAACAATCCTAAACGCAACGGTCTTACCGCGAGACCAGCGTTGATCCTTCTAGAGCCAGCAGTAGTGCTGAAATTGATGTACAAGATTGAGTTTGGCGAAGTAGAGGCACTTTCTGAGATCAGGTTAGGTATCAGACTGAATAACAATAGATAAACACCGCGATTCATTCAAAAATCATTGAAAAGTATACGCCAACAATCTTGAAAGCCAAACACGGATAAATGAATGAAATCGTGAATGGTGGGGATAACTGCCTCTCTCGTTGAAATTGATTCACAGGCCGGTTCGCAACGGTCTTATCGCTGGACCGGCGTTGATTCTTTCTAGATCTAGCAGTTGTGCTGAAACGAATATTCTTACAAGATTGAGTTTGTAGAGGGAGAGGCACGTTCTGAGATCAGGTTAGGTCTCAGACTGAATAAAAATAGATATACACCGCGATTCATTCGAAAATCATTGGAAAGTATGAAGTACGAAGTGAATCAATGTAAAAGCAAATGGTGTGGAGACCTCTGACTCTCACGATGAGATTGTTTCTCGGACTGGGTCTCAACGGTCTCACTGCGGGTCCAGCATCAATAATTCTTCTAGATCTAGCTGTAGTTCTGGAACGGACATTGTTACAAGATTGAGTTTGGCGAAGTAGAGGCACTTTCTGAGATCAGGTTAGGTATCAGACTGAATAACAATAAATAGACACCGCGATTCATTCAAGAATCATTGAAAAGTATACGCCAACAATCTTAAAAAGCCCAACACGCGAATAAAGAATGAAATTGCGGATGGTGGGGATAACTCTAGCTACTTCTCGCGGTGAGATTGAATATCGGATCGAGTAGATACTCTAGCAACTGTGTTTAATTATTTTCATGATCAAACAGTTACTAAATATTAGTTAGGAACATTGTGTCGGACTGATGCCGGCATGCTTTGCGATTTATATTACGCCATGGAATTTCATAACATCTATTACATAATTTGATATAAGATTTGTAGTCACCTAACTGGCGACCTGTACACTAGAAACCGAGATTTTGAGGCATTTGGATATTTGGAACTGTTGGTGTTTTCTTGTACGACGCATCCCTTATTTCCGAACCCCAATTTGTTGCATTATATGGACGTCTCCATTTTCCGAAATTTCCTAATTTTCACCATGAATTCGTTTATTTCGACATCAAATTAGTCTATGTGAATTTTTTCAGCTTTTTAATAGGCCAATTGAAAATTTTTATTTCTCCTCCTGAGATTTCAGTACGATATAGTCACCGAGCCGTCTTCGGACGGTCGAAAGTGCCAGAAAACGGCATGAATCCACGCGAATTATTGCTTTTCCATTAGAAAACGACACGCTGGATCGAATGAGACCAAAATCAGTCCGATAGGACAGATAGTTTCCGAGATATCAGCGCTTAAAGTCAGCTTTCCGCGTTTATTGCCAATAGGAGAACTCCGGTAGGCTACTTCGTCCCCATTTTCCAAAATTTCCTGATTTCCACCACAGATTCGTTTATTTCTACATCGAATTAGTCTATGAGAATCTTTTCAGATTTTCAATAGGCCAAATGAAAATTTTCATTTTTCCACCCGAGACTTCAGTACGATATAGTCACCGAGCCATCTTCGGACGGCCGAAAGTGCCAGTAAACGGCAGAAATCCTCGCGAATTATCGCATATCCAGTAGGAAATGACACGCTGAATCGAATGAGATCACGATCAGTCCGATGGGACAGATAGTTTTCGAGATATCGGCGCTCAAAGTCAGCTTTCCGCTTTTATTGCCAATAGGAGCACTCCGGTAGGCTACAATGTCTCCATTTCCTGATTTCCACCACAGATTCGTTCATTTCGACATCGAATTAGTCTATGTGGAGTTTTTAAGATTTTTAATAGGCCAAATAAAGAATTTAATTTTCCCACCTGGGACTTCAGTACGATATAGTCACCGAGACTTCTTCGGACGACCGAAAGTGCCAGAAACCGGCATGAATCCACGCGAATTATTGCTTTTCCATTATAAAATGACTCGCTGAATCGAATGAGACCAAGATCAGTCCGATGGGACAGATAGTTTTCGAGATATCGGCGCTCAAAGTCAGCTTTCTGCTTTCATTGCCAATAGGAGCACTCCGGTAGGCTACAACGCCTCCATTTTCCAAAATTTCCTGATATCCTACACAGATTCATCATTTCGACATCGAATTAGTCTATGTGAATTTTTTCAGATTTTTAATAGGCGAAATAAAAATTTTCATTTTTCCACCTGAGACTTCAGTACGATAGTCACTAAGCCTTCTTCGGGCGGCCAAAAGTGCCAGAAAACAGAGGAAATCCACGCGAATTATCGCTTTTCCAGTAGAAAATGACACGCTGAATCGAATGAGACCACGATCAGCCCGATAGGACAGATAGTTCTCGAGATATCGGCGCTCAAAGTCAGCTTTCCGCTTTCATTGCTAATAGGAGCATTCCGGTAGGCTGAAACGTCTCCATTTTCCATAATTTCCTAATTTCCACCACAGATTCGTTCATTTTGACATCGAATCAGTCTATGTGAATTTTTTCAGATTCTTAATAGGCCAAATAAAAATTTTCACATTTCCACCTGAGACTTGTTGTTGTTGTTCTTTATTACCCCAAGAAACATATTTGTTTATAATAGGGATACATAAACATATGATATATATATATATAAAACAAAAAAAAAACTAATCAACAAGTTATGTCAATATAACATAATAATTAAAATAAAAAACCATTCCAAGTATTCAAATGAGAATAAATTGCTCCGTTTATTGTGTCATGAGTATATATTTTTTCATATTGACTTTGAATCTTGTTTCATCATCAATATGTTTCAAATCATAAGGTAATGAATTATATAAAATGATTCCGTTGTAGAATACTGATTGTTTGCCAATGATGGAGTTATATGGGTTTGCTATTAATGAATTCAACTGTCTCGTTGCATGAGTATGAATTGTATTTACTTCAGTGAAGTTCAAGTTGGATATTTTTATTTTTTTTCTCACAAAATGGATGAAAGAACAAATTTTCATTTTATATAAAGATGATAAATTCAACAGATTTTTTGGTTTGTAAAGATTAATAGTTGGTTCCAGGTAATGTGAATTGTAAATGCACTATATTGTTTTATTTTGTAATTTCATTAATTGTTTCAAATGTGATATACTTGTGCTTCCCCAAATTGATATTAAATATTGTAATTTTGAGTAAATCAGTACGATATTGTCACCGAGCCATCTTCGGACGGCCGAAAGTGCCAGAAAACAGCGGAAATTCACGCGAATTATCGCTTTTCCAGTAGGAAATGACACGCTGAATCGAAAGAGACCACGATCAGTCCGATTCCTTCTAGCAAATATCGCAAAATATTATTCTTTCTCAATAAAGATTATCGAAAAACAAATTTAGGCAGCAATTCTCCAATTAGTAGATTAAGCAGTTGATCAACAAATATTGTATCATTGATATTCCCTGTATATCTCTATTTACCTTCAAACAAGAAGTTGAAACAATATTTCTCACGAAACATTCCAAAATTGTTTAACATTTCCAATTTCACTCAAGCTATTATACATTTACTCATTGGCGGCGAGATCAGCGGATACTTTTTCTGGGTTTTGAACCTTTTTGTATCCCAAATTTGTAATAAATAAATAAATGAATCAATCAATCAATCAATTAGCTAATCAATTAATACCTAGCTTCTGCAGTTGATGCTGACGACTCCTCGCTAGCTTCTTGTTGCTCCGTAGATGGCGCTGCGGTCGTTCGACTGCGCCCCCTCAAATTCGGTCGGGATCTCGGTAGGGATGGTTTGTGGGATGGGGCGGAAGTCGTGCTGCTGGTCTCCTCTTTGCTCTCCTCGGCAGCCGGAGTTGTCCTACCTCGAGTTTTTGGGCCGCCAAATCGTGAACGGCTCAATGTTGGCTGAAATAGTCAGTTATACACCAAGGTATTAAAGGAATATCATTATCACCCAGGGACCAAGATTATATCCCGAGGCTTCAGCCAAGTTGATGTTACTTCCGGTCTGACCGGAAGTAACATCAACTTTCTTATTTTAAATGGAAACCCTATTTTTTTTCTTTCCGCTTTATTCAGCATTCAATTCCCTTTCTAATGACGTATCACAAGTTGGTATCTTACCAGAAACTAGATCAGAAAAAAATTATTATTGAAATTCACCAGCAAAATGAAAGCCAAAAAAATGACTTTCTATTATATCATTAGAAAGGAATGGTTATGCTGAATAAAACAGGCAAGAAAAAGTTGTATGTTCCTATTTAAGTTATGGAGAGTATTGTTTTCTTCCCAATTTTTTCCAATATTTTTTTTGGCGGCTTTTTATAACGCCGACGAATGAAAATATAATATCACAGTAGTAGCAACTGTAATCAAGTGACGTATGGTTTCCATAGCCAACTTTTCAATTTTTGGCCTTCATTTTGCTTCCACGGCCTACTCGGTGAATTTCAATAATAATTTTTTTCTGATCTAGTTTCTGGTTAGATACCAACTTGTGATATGTCATTGGAAAGGGAATTGAATGCTGAGTAAAGCGAAAAGAAAAAAAATAGGGTTTCCATTTAAAATAAGAAAGTTACTTCCGGTCAGATCGGAAGTTAACTTCGACATGTCAATATGCCCAAATTCTAGCTCTTATGTCATTATATCGACGCTCCAAATTTCACAAACCTACTTCATACAATAACTGAGATATTCCGTAGGCAATACTTCCGTAGCCACCCGGTATATATAAAGAAATACATTGAGAATTCGCATTATCCAGGTGATGAAAATATTAATTCTTTCTCGGTTTATTCAACAGAAAAAAACTACTTTCCTAGCTATATGCCATGACGAATATTGAATTACATCTATTGAACACATGCACACAAAAAGACTTTGAAAAAAAATCTTCTGAAGTAGAGAATTCGCATTCTCCTTCATATTAAGATATGCATATAATATAATTCTGGATATTCAACAGAAAACAACTACTTTCCTGGCTATTTGTCACGTCCAACATTGAATTATATCTGTTGGATATCCAAAAAGAGAGGAAGTTCCAAGCTCATCAAGATCAGAGTTGATAAAAGTATACTTCTATACATTTAAATTTTCATTACAATACTGAACATATCGGTAAGTTATATTTTTATATCATAATACATCATATTATTCTATTCGATTTGAGAGATGATGTCAATTCCCAATTTCAGAGGATTTTCATTTTTCATGCTCTCTTTTTGGATATTCAACAGATATAATTCAATGTTCGACGTGGCAAATGGCCAGGAAAGTAGTTGTTTTCTGTTTAATAAACCGGAGAATGCGAATTCTCAATGTATTTCTTTATACAGGGTGTTCCGGTAATCAAGTTACAAACTTCTAGGGTAGATAAAACACACGAAAATAAGAAAAAAAGTTCATGTGAACATGGGTCCGGAAACGCTTCTTCAGGGAGCTAGGGCCCTTCGAAGATGACCTTCAAAAACTACTTTTCGTTTTATAGCTTCGGTACTACTGCAGCTATCGCAACCAATTTTGGGACATGAAATCTAGTTCGTAGGTTCATCAATTTGAGCCTTCCGGATTATTTTGATTTCATTTTGGTACGTACAGGGTAAGTCAACGACAGCGTTAGTAAATTCATCTTCAAGACAAAAATTTACTCTGCCTTATCCTTGACTCACTCGTTAAACCTGTTTGTGTTACTTGTTTATTTTGTACTTTTGAAACTTCAAAACTTTAAGTTTTTCATTGGTGCTCGTGAATGAATTATTGCAAATTTATTATTAGTTTTGCTTGTGTAGGTTTAGTTGTTTTTTTTCTTTTTGAAATATTTTGTATACGTTCCCTTTTACTTTTTATACCCCCAATTTCGAGAAGGCAATAAATTTCTCTAATCTTATTTATTTTCATTAAAGAAGAAGATTTGACTAACTAATAATGCTCACTATCTGTACTGAACCTTATTTTCACATTTCAACGTAATAATTGGTTTAAGACCAATATAGTTTATTATTGATTGGATTTAGCCATTTTCGGAGGAAACGGTGACAGATTGCAATTTTTACAAGAGTACCTTTTTTGTGTGAAAGGCATTGGAGAATCATAATCAGATATAAAAATGGTAAGAAATTGAAGCCTAAGAGGAGTAGGGTCAAATTTACCCAAATACCCCCCTGGTTTGTACGCCCCTGGGGTTAAAGGTGACAAAATCCGGAAGGCTCAAATTGATGAACCTACGAACTAGATTTCATGTCTCAAAATTGGTTGCGATAGCTGCAGTAGTACCGAAGCTATAAAACGAAAAGTAGTCAGTAGAAGGTCATCTTCGAAGGGCCCTAGCTCCCTGAAGAAGCGTTTCCAGACCCATGTTCACATGAACTTTTTTTTTATTTTCGTGTGTTTTATCTACCCTAGAAGTTTGTAACATGATCACCGGAAGACCCTGTATATACAGGGTGTTTCATTGGGAAAGGTAAATAATTCAACTGTGGAAAGGGGTCACTGGGGTGATTCAAAAAAGCCCATGGTTAATGGGTCTTCGACTTCTTATAACCAAGATACAGGATGTTTCATCAATTTTGTCCATATCTTCATTGTCTCATAACTTTCCAACCAACCTGTATATATTTTCAAAAATTGGTACACTTGCTCAATCTACCCTGTGGAATTGATTGAGGCAACAACAAAAGATAAAATCCAGGTCTGGCTTCACTTAAAATTCACATATTCTTTCTGTCAGAAAACAACACCCTATACATTCGAATTTCTCATTTTTTTGCCATATCTGAAAAAAACATCAAAATTTCTATTCAACGATGTGCTTTTTATTCGTGCACAGACGATTTTAACTGTTCATATTATGTGCTCAAAATATTATTTTTGTTCATTTTGGGGTACCAAATTGGAATCAGACGAGATTTATTAATTTTATTACTTCCTATTCAGTATACGTGAGTATTACATTCAAAAGGAGTATTTCATATCGTTCTTTGTTCCAGACTTAGTTGCAGGTCCGTCATCAAAACTATGCAGGGCTTTTCACGATAAGCGTTACTTAGATGTTTCTGGCAAACCAGGCAACGGATAAATCTAAAAATTCGAAGGTATGTATAAATTAACATAATCTACACTACTGAAATATTTGAAACGATCCGACCTTGCCGCTTCAACTAGAAAGTAGCAGCAACTTCGATTTTTCAAATGGGACACCCTGTATTTCATTACATTCTTGGATTCCTGCTTAACAGCAGAATTCATCGATTCAAAACATTCAAGGTCTAGCGGGACTGATAACTGAGATATAGGATGTGGAAAATCGAGATGTTTCAACTTTAGAAATGTTTTGTGTTGAAACTATTTATTATTGCATGGTCAAAACGGCTTCAATGTCCCTATCACAACTTTCCATTCGATATTCATTTGAAACAGATACAGGGTGGTGCATAAATCTGAATTATGAACCATCCTGTATTTGTTTCCATTAAATGTCTATAGATACAAAGTCAAGATAGGGACATAAAAGCCGTTTTGATCAATAATAAATATTTTCGCAAAATAATTCTAAAGTTGAAACATCTCGATTTTTCTCACTCGAAATATCTCAGTTATTAGTCCCACCAGACCCGAACTTTGTAAATCGATTAAATCAGCTCTTCAGGAAGCATCCAGGGTGTCCCATTTGAAAAATCAAAGTTACTGCTACTTTCGAATAGAAGCGGCAACGCCGGATTGTTTCAAATATTTCAGACGTGTAGATCATGTTAATTTATACATACCTTCGAATTTTCAGATTTATCCGTTGCCTGGTTTGCCAGAAACATCTAATTAACACTTATCGTGAAAAGCCCTGTATAGTTTTGATGACGGATCTGCGACTGGAACAAAGAACGATATGAAATACTCCTTCTAAATGTAATACTCACGTATACTGAATAGGAAGTAATAAAATTAATAAGTCTCGTTCTGATTCCAATTTTGTACCCCAAAATAAGCAAGAATAATATTTTGAGCACATAATATGAATAGTTAAAATCGTCTGTGCACAAATAAAAAGCACATCGTTGAATAGAAATTCTGATGTTCTTTTCAGATATGGCGAAAAAAATTAGAAATTCGAATGTATAGGGTGTTGTTTTCTGGCAGAAAGAATTTGTGAATTTTAAGTGAAGCCGGACCTGGATTTTATGTTTTGTTGTGAACTCAATCAATTCCACAAGGTAGATTGAGCAAGTGTACCAATTTTTAAAAATTTATACATGTTGGTTGGAATGTTATGAGACAATGAAGATAAATATGGACAGAATTGATGAATCATCCTGTATCTCGGTAATAAAAAGTCGAAGACCCATCAACCATGGGTTTTTTGAAATCACCTCAGTGACCCCTATCCACAGTTGAATTATTCACCTTTCCCAATGAAACACCCTGTATATCCATTTTTTTGTGTTCATAAATATATCTGAGAATGTTCCTTTTCAATACTTTCACCCAATCAAGGGGTTCAAACTTGAACGATGGAAACTTGTTATTTTTATAGACCTCAATCGCAGATTCGTGATTAGGTTTTTCTTTCCTTTACAGAACTTCTTTCCACGTCCTGTATGATGAATGTTCATACATCCAAAAAATACTTTAATATAGTACTTCCGCAATCGACCAATTCGACGTTATCAATACCAACTCACCCTCGCGTTACTAGCCGGTCTCGCCTCCTCCTTGTGCACCTCCTCGTCAACAGAGGGCGCTGGGGTTGTCCTCGCCCTCGCCCTGCCGCCCCCGAAGCTCGGCCTGCCGAACTTGCCCTTCTTGGGCTCGGCGGGAGCGGATTCGGTGGTCGGGGCGGCGGTGGTGGTCTTCCTGCCGTTGAGGCCGCTTCTCCTGCCTCCGAACTTGCCCCTGCCGAAGTGGGCGGCCTCGGTCGATGGGGGCGGCGGAGGGGTGGTTGTCGTGGTGGTAGTGGTGGTAGTGGTTGTGGTTGTTGTGGTGGTGGTGGTGGTTGGGGTGGTTTCTGGTTCTGGAAGTTGAGAGGTGTCGTTATGGTTCGGGCGGAAGAGCAGAGGACATACATTGTGACCCACTTCTATAATAATGGAAACACCCCTGTATCTTACGTAATCGTTAAGTAAGGATCCTGAAATTTGCGGGAGCGAGAGATATACCAAAAATGCACTCTATGATCAAGTGGGGTCATCTTCAGTGCACTTGGTCATAGTGTGTATTTTCGTTATATCTCTCGCTCCAGCAAATTTCAGGATCCTTACCCAACGATTACATAAGATACAGGTGTGTTTCCATTAGAAGTGGGTCACACTGTATACAAAGTGCTTCGAAATTCAGTATCAAGATTTCAGGGGCTTATTTTTCGGGTCAAAATGAGACTGTTGTTTTCCAATTGCTTCAAAAGAATCCTAAACATCCAAATGAAAATAGCAGTCACAGCCCACTACTTATTCTCTTTTACATTGTTTCGTTCAGGTTCAAAAGTTCAAATAAATCTAGCGAATAACAAACATTTATTTTCTATACAAGGAAAAACATTAGTGAATATCAGCTGTAGGTTGTGTTGTCCGATGAATCTAATGTCCTTTCCGTGTATAATACACTATTTTTTTTGTGACAGGAGAAACAACGATTCGAATATTGAGGAGATATTACATTGTATTAAAAAATTATAGACGTGAAATTTGAAGTTTTAAACAGGAATGACACCTGCGTTGTAGACATCTTTATCATTCTTTTGAAGTGATCAAATATCTGTCATTCTAATTTTGTGCTTTTATTTTCAAAAATTGCGAATTCAGTGGTTAGTAATTTACGTACACGCGAAATCAAATGGGAGATAGAAGGATTGGCAGTTCTTCCTCGGAGTCGGTGTTATTGACTTGGCAAAAGCTATCAATAGTATATATATCCGGGAAAAAAGTATTCACTCTTTTTCCGTGGGAGGAAAATAATATACGAAAAGGGACATTTTATAACCTGCCAACAGAGATGAAATTTCAAATTTTTTCCCGTCACCAAAAAAAATTCAATTCGATTCCTTGTGAACGGCCTTATCACATGAGACACAAGAGTTTATGAAGAGAACAAAGAATTTATTCCGCATTTCAAAATCTGCCAGCACCGCACCACAAAAAAAAGGTTCAGAAATTATATCTCCCTGTAGATTCCTACAATCACTCAGCATACTGTATGATATGAACCCTAAACGTAACCAATATGTCGAATTTGATCTGAATTCTTGAAAACCGAAAGAGCTATATAAAGAAGAAAACAAAAATCTTGAAACTCTCATGCACGCTCTGAAGATCAGTAACGTATCGTTTGCGGACAAATGTGTATCCGAAGAAAAAGTCTTATTTCAACCTGAAAAATTACCTCTTGAAAATCTTGATACTGAATTTTGAAATACCGTACATTTCATGAATAATTCTCTGAAAATTCTCCGAGGTAATTCAAGTTTTTGTCATTTTCCACAAAGTCTATAGTCGTTAGAAAGACAGTTGAGACACTGTAGCAACATCTGTTTTGGAACCTCTGAAATCTCTTCAAAATAAATCCATAAAATGTATTCATAAACTACCATCTTTGAGATTTACATCTAGCCTATACAAACGAGGAATCTGTTAGATATTGACTCTCTCTCCAAAATGAAATTATGCGTTTTCATCCATTTCACTAAAAATAAAAAATAAACACAGAATCTTACTTCCAATATCAATTCTGATAACCATGAGCATCTCACCAGATGAAGTAAACATTTGAAAACTGTCAAAATAAAAACCCCATTATATTTTTGTGGAATAAATATTTAAAAAAGTTTACAGAATAAAATCTATTTGGCTCGTCACAAAATTCAAGATTGAACTGAAGAAATATATTTAATCAATTCAACGTTCTCCTTGTATCAATTAATTCTGATTGAACAGTTTATCTTTCATTGTATTGCATATTTGATTTATTTTTGATATTTTTTGTATCCCTCTATAAACATTGTACGTTTTTTGGGACCAATGAATATTATTATTATTATTACTTTTACGCTTCAAAATGATGATACGAGTATTCATCATTTCCTTCTTTGCACACGATATTTTTTATTGAGCTTTCCCGATAGTGTCTAAAGATTTTATTTCAAAATATATTTTCCTTAACCACCCTGTATCTCTTGAACCAGCAATATTTTAATGAGGCATGTTGGGCTAAATCTTTATATTTGAGTGTTTACTATCTGTAGTTCAGGGATTTCCAATTCTTAATTCAATAAATAAAATTATTAAAATGGAACATAAATCTCTTCAAGAGCGAATAAGACAAAAACCGGTGGAGTTAGACAATTTGATAATAAATACATTTTTCATGTGAAATTGAACGAGCTTTCAGATTTTCCACTTATTTTGATCATCAGTGAATTAACATGAAAGATATGATGTAAATTATCGAAGTAATAACAGAGTCCACTAGCGCCCTCTATGAGCAATCACAAAATAAGTTGCAAATTCATATTCCTTGTGTTAGAAAACCTAGAAATACAAGATTCTATGTTCATGCTGTTGAAACTAACAAAGTTATTGTGAAATTTTGAAATAAAATCTTCCCCTAGAACACCCTGTATCTCCTATACCAGCAATATACTCATCAGGCATATTGGGCTAAATCTCATTATTTTTGTGTTTACTATCTGTAGTTCAGAGATTTCCCATTCCTAATGAAGATTACCTGTTGAAATTTCTTCAGTAGTGAGTTCGGTCTGAGCGGCGTTTCCTTCTCCTTCCGTGCTGACTTCTCTATCATCGTTTCCTTCACCGAACAGCTTCTGATTACCCTGGGAGATGGCGTACAGATCGAGAGCTACTTTGTCCATCGGTGACATCGCCGTGGTGGCTTCCGTTGACGCAATGGTGTTGTCGGATTCAGGCACTTCCGGTTGAGAAGCCGACGGTTGAGATTCCTCTCTGGATCTGTATACCGGAGCTTCTGGTGCGTCCTGTGAAGAAATAAGGTATATGCAGGGTAATCACCCCAAAAGAGAGGGATGAGAAGAGTATGAAGTTAGATTTAGGTTTGTTATTCATGCCTGTACGATGTTCAGTAATGTGAAAAAGTGCCAAAAGTTTAAGATGGTGCGATAAAATTGTGGATTCCCAGACAACGCAGTCTCTTCATCATGAAGTGAAGATATATGAATGAGTCTTGGTTAGGATAAGTTATTCGCAGACGTTTGCCCAAAATATTGAGTGAGACTCGACCTTCATCCTCGAAAAGGTGTTAGTGCTTTCCCTGAAGTTCTAACCAGAATGAACCTGAAGTTTATTCTAGGGCTCAATAAAGATTGACTGGAAAAATTCAAGAGCAGCTCCATGCATGAAGGTCAGAGAGACTAGTACAACGAGAAAGTTGAGTACCAACGTGGGCTGTTACCTAAAGATGAAAGAACTGGCTATGCACCTAAATGCTATGGTAAATTCTAATAACACTGACCTGAAGTTTCAGTTAGGGCTCAATTTGAATTGACTGGAAACAGCTTCAAGCATGGAGGTCAGAAAGGCTCGTACAAAGAGAAAGTTGAGTACCAACGTGGGCTGTTACCTAAAGATGACAGAACTGGCTACGCACCTAAGTGCTATATGCTGAGTTCTAACCAGACTGACCTGCAGTTTATGGCTCGAAATGGATCGATTGAAAAAATTCAAAAGCAGCATTATGCATGAAGGTCAGAAAGGCTGGTACGAGGAAGTTTACCAACGTGGGTCGTTACCCAAAGATGACAGAACTGGCTATGCTCCTAAGTGCTATGCTAAGTTCTAACCACACTGAACTGAAGTTTCTTTTAGGGCTCAATATGGATTGACTGAAAAAATTCAAGAGCAGCTCCATGCATGAAGGTCAGAAAGACTGGTACAACGAGAAAGTTGAGTACCACCGTGGGCTGTTATCTGAGGATGAAAGAACTGGCAACGCATTTAAGTGCTATACTAAGCTCTGTCCAGACTGACCTGCTGATTCTTTACGGGATCAAAATGGAGTGACTGGAAAAATTCAAGAGCAGCTCCATGCATGAATGTCCAAAAGGCTGGTACAACGAGAAAGTCAAGACTGCCAAGGGAGGAACAATTGTTCATATTCCAGAAGAGCATCGTCCATGAAAATATCTAAAAAATAGAGCCAGATCGCCAATTTTTCTACGGTGTTCCAGAGAAGTGAGTGAGTTTGTGAGCGAGGCATCACCTACGAGAAGAATTGCCCTTTTTTGGACAGAATCTAATAGTTTCAGGGTATGTTTGGGTGCTGCACTCCAAATATGCGAACAGTATTCCAGGACAGGTCGGATATGTGCCTTATAGATCATAAGCAGCTGACTGGGAGTGAAATAGCTCCTGGCCCTAAACAGAAAACCAAGTATTTGAGATGCACTTTTAGCAATTGAGCTCACGTGATTTTCCCAAGAAAGGTTATTGCTGATAGTAATATACCAAGCATCGAAATGGATGTCTTCAAAGGTATGGTTACTCCTGACAAGCTTATGTTGGGCACAGTGAGATCGGTTCTCCACGAGACGAATTGCCCTTTATGACAGAACTTGCTATGCTCCTAAGTGCTATGCTATGTTCTAACCAGACTGACCTGAAATTTCTTTCAGGGCACAATATGGATTGACTGGAAACATTCAAGAGCTTCATGCATGAAGGTCAGAAAGGCTCGTACAACGAGAACTGGTACTGGTACTGGTGGGGGACGTTTCCACGTCAGCAACTAGTCCCCAATGGGACATTTTTGCAAACCCCAAGTGTTTTCAATGACTGATGTGGTTCGCTCAAGAGAGCTGGCTAACATCCTTTTCAGGCACCGCCCATCAGCTCTCTTTCAGAGTTTTTCAGCTGTGTTTTGTAGGCTAGTAATGTACTCACTACCATATGCGCAGTGGCAGGCCTGCTAACTATCCTCGTTAACCCCCGAGACCGAGGTCTACTAAGCAGCTGGCCCGCTCTTACGCTCAGCTGGTAGTTTTCCACACCCACCAACATACACCGTCCTACTTCTTCTCTGATGCTCACAACCACATCATCATATCTTTCTGTGTGTTCTGTGTAGGCTTTGTTACTAACTCCATGCGCCACTTTAGGAGCAGCACTGTTAATTGGAACGCAACAGCGAATCGTGCAGGACTATCCCCAGCCGATGCTCCGAAACTTCACAATATTTAATTCGTAAATGAAATATTGAAAAAAGTTCCTTGCCCGTGCTGGGAATCGAACCCACGACCTTGCGGTCGTGAGACGGACGCTCTTCCACTGCGCCAATCCCGGCTCGCGTACAACGAGAAAGTTAAGTACCAACGTAGGCCATATTACCTAAAGATGACAGAATTGATCAACATGGATTGACTGGAAAAATCCAAGAGCAGTTCCACGAATGAAGGTTAGAAAGGCTGGTACAACGAGAAAGTTGAGTACCAACGAGACCGTTACTGAGATGACAGAACTGGATATGCACCACTACTGATGTGCCTCCATGACAATAAATAAGAGCTTTAATACGGTTCAACACCAAATCCACAAGTTTCTAGTGTTATGGTGCAACGTTCAAAGACAAGCAGACAGTTTGGTAATTTTGCACTTATCATGCGATGGGTTTTTTTTCGAAAATTTTTTTTGGTACTTACGTATTTTTGTCTGAAAAACACGAATTTGATATTGAAAATGTGAACAAACCACTATTTATCAAGATATTTCAAGAAAAAGTTCGAAATTTTGCCTTGTTTTCCCCCTTGTGTTGGATGCATTTACAGGTACTTGCTCTTTTTATTTTGTCATTGGACACTTCATATACTCATGATGTACTTCAATGACACATTTTAAGCTAGAAAATTAACAGGAAATATGATTTTTATGGTGAGTTTTTCCTATTTAGTGAGCAAGCATACCAGATGACCGCCATTTAATCGATGGGTAATCCAAATAGGAGATGTCAAATGTCAATAGATTGCTTTGGAATGACATCACACACGCCATTATTTCAAATGATATTCTTCCTTCTTTTCACTAAACATGGATAAATCATAAGAAAATCATATTTCTAGTTGACTTATATAATAAAAAATATGTGTCCAACATTGTGTGATATATATAAATTGTCCAATGATGGAAAAAGAAGGGCAAATTGTTCTAATTGCTTCACAAAGACAGGCGGAAAAGAAGGTGAAATTTGTAACTTTATAGTGAAATATCTCAATAAATAATGGTTTGTTCACATTTTCATTATCAAATTCGTGTTTTTCAGACAAAAATACGTAAGTACCAAAAAAAATTTTCGAAAAAAAACCCATCGCATGATAAGTGCAAAATTACCGACAGTTTAGTGCTATAGTGCGATATCAGATTCAACAATTGTTCAATTACTGGCACTAGGTCGACGCGCTCATTCGGAATGGCTCCCAAGAAACGTACCGGTCCTTCTGGCAGCTCTTGCGGGAAATTGGGCTTGCCTTGGCTAGCGCCATGCGTGTTGAATGAGTCGTTATCGACTAAGTCCAAGGAGGGTCTCTTGATGTTCGCTCGTGTCCTGCCTCTCGAGCTCTGGAAGAAACGAGACATTTTGTTTATCTAAGTTCACTTTTATTGGACCACTTTGTACGAGCTTAGTACTTACTTGACTCTCATTTGATACGTTGTCCAATTCACCGGAAGCGGCATCTGGAGATGGTCTTCTTCCGCGGCCTCTGGTCGTTCTTGGTTCATCTTCTGGCAAAGGTGTGGTATTCAAGTTACGACTCCTATAAATGGAAAATACGCATCAGCAAAGAAAAAATTGAAGAAAGTGAAGCAATATAGTCCAGGTTGTCCTAGGAGGACTTCCGAATAAGGGATAGCACTAGGCCTTGAACCAAACAAGATCTTAGGCAATATATGAGTTCAAACCATCTACTGGAATCTCAAGTAAACCTTTTCCAGATGGACAAACCTCAAATAAGCGGGTTTATTCCAGGCAAAACTTTCTCCTGATCTTGATTCTCTTCTACTCTTTGACTTCTGCTGTTGATAATGGAGGTCAGAATTTATGTTCTAGTTCTAGAGATATGTTCCGAAGCTTCAGTCTCTCAAGTGCAGAAGCAACAAAAATTAACCTCATATTTTCAGAGGTTGTATTTCACAGTGTCTTCATTGGGAGGTCTGACAATTTTGCTAGAGGAGCCTACTGGATCTATCTCTTATTTGATTCAGACCAGGGGAGAGTCCCTTTTATCCTGATATTCATCATGGAACAAAAAAAAACAAAATGGAAACGGTATTAAAGTTTGATGCGAACAGCCCTTCTGCCCTAAATATGTTTCAGAAATACATTCTGAGTATTGAAAAAGTTCGAACGGAACAAATTAATATCAAAAACTTGAGAAGAGTGAATTTGGTCATCATGTTGATATTTCTTCTAGTTTATGGACATTCTCGGTCTTTTGAACTTTGATTGATCACCTGGGTCATAATCAACTGCATTTCGAAGAAGCTGATTCTCATGAACCTCAGCTTTTTCGAAAGTCTTGATGTTTTGTTCTTTAATGACGGACACGATTGACTGGAGTTTCCGATCCCTGGCGATCTCGTTATTCCGATTCCGAACATACCAAAGAGATCCTGTCACCATTCTCGCGATTTTGTTTTGTAATGTTTGTAATCTGGTGATATGAGATTTAGCTGTGTGGCCCCAGACTACCGAGGCATACAGTAAAATTGGCCTGATAGCCATGAAGTAAATATTCAATTTTTGTCTCAAACCCAATTTACTTCGTCTGTTTAGAAATGGATACAGGGCTCCAATGGCTCGTTTAGCTTTTGAAACTTGATGTTCAATGTGCAATGTGCTGGGCCCAGGTGAGCTTCTTGTCAATGCACACACCTAAGTATTTAACTTGTGAAGACCACTCCAACTCATGACCATCCAGGATTATTTTGGTTCTGGGAGACCTCCGCTCTCTTCCGAGTGCGACCAATTGTGTTTTTGCAGGTTTCAATTTGATCTTCCATCTTAGGAAGTACTCCTGAAGAGAATTCAGCGCGCCTTGGAGGTTCATAGCTGCTTGCTCGAAATTTGTCGAATATGCAAGAACTACCGTGTCATCAGCAAAAAGCGACATCTTGCACATCACTGGTCTCGGCAAATCGCTAGTATATAAACTGTACAGCAGCGGCGATAAAACTGCACCCTGAGGAACACTAGCTCCAATAGGCTTGATACCAGATCGTTGATCATCAAGTTTCACTTGAAAAGTTCGATTTTTCAGAATTGAACCCATCAACTGAATCAAATCGTCAGGAAAGCCCATATCGATCATTCTGTACAAGTTACCATCATGCCACACCTTGTCAAATGCTTTCGCTATGTCAAGGAGAGCCTACACAGTAACAAAAGGAAGCAACTTGATCACAACTATCAAGTGCAAAGGAAGATAGAGAAAATTTCGGAGAGGAGTATTGAACCTGTGAATTGTTTCTCACCTGGGTGGGAATCTTGTGTTAGCCGGTAGTCTTTCTTCGGTGATGGTGTCTTCTTCACCAAGCTGCCTACTCCTGCTTTTGGTTCCTCTCGGTACAACTTCGTTAGCTTCCGCAGCAGGTTTCAGTTCACCGCGTGATGGTATCTGGTTTCTTGCAGGACCATCGTGTGAATTGGTCACCTTCAAAATAAATAGTATATTACATAGCACAAATGCATTGATTTTGAACGAAATGGGTAGATAGCCAACATAGTTTCGTACACTAGTAGATATTCGATAGGGATTCGGGGTCAGATAATTTTGATTCGTCAAGGATAGAGATAGCTGCTGACGTCACAATCATCGTCCAGCGATGTGAATTGAATAAAAAAGCCTCATCTCGCCGAGAATTGATCCCGGATCACCTGACTGAGAGTCTACTGCTATACCACTTGGACTATAATTTTTATCTGTAGTTTTCATGACTCAAATGGTATAGCGGTAGGCTCTCAGCGCGATGAACCTGTTTCTATTCACATCGCTAGACGATAGTTATGACGTCAGCAGCTATCTCTCTCTGATATATCAATAGAATCTGATTCCGAATGCCTGTTGCACATCTACTTCCATTTGAACCTATGTTGACTTTCTACTGAAATTTTCGTAGGAAAAAACAAGTGAAGCGAGTTAGAACGGGCTAGTGGGCAGTTGAAATAAATGATTCGCATTCAATTACATCACTGGGTCGTTAGGAACCTCAATTAATTTTTGCAACACTTTTCATGCTTTTTTATGGTAATAATGAGCCTATCCATTGTTCGAAATTGTTGAATTTCAGAGCTCATTCCAAAAGTTTCCGTCATGGCTGCTATTTGGCGATACGTCGAATAAATGGTGACGTCAATTCCCACTCATGAAGCAAGGTTGTCAAGTCAACAATTATAATCAAGTTATCAAAAAGATGTTATAGGCCTGTCGTTGAACAAAACATAAGAGAGGAGGAACCCATGATATAAAATAAACTATTTTTGACTCTTTCATCCATATTTTTGCTATTTCTCAAACTCCATAACAAAATATCATGTTGGAAACTTGTCGACATTGTGCCGAATGCTGAGAACTGACAAGACCACGCCCACAATTCGTGAACCTAAGAACAGTCCCATTTGGTTAAACGTATTAAACTTTCAGAAAAATTTGCTCACTGCCTCACACTGGAGTTGAAAATTCAAAAACTCAAAAATTATCATCATCATTTGGATATAATATGTAGAGTCGAATGAGAAATCACATGTGGAAATTACGAACGATACGCCAATGTCCTCAATATAACCTAAAAAACAAGAAATGTCAGAAATCTAGTGTTTATCCCCAGAAATAAATGAAGATGAAACTATATAACTGTTTCACAAACACTTTAGAGTGAGAGGAGACGAGGATCTGTCCGTACCCGCTGTTAAGATGATAAATACGTCAATTTACATCAAGGGACCCTTCTTCTCGGTAGTTTCTCTCCTCTTCTGTAGTACCGTACAGCCACATAAGTTTGAGATCAGTATTATTCAACTCATATTTCAAAGCCCATGTTCTGTTCAGAAATTTGGTTTGAAACCATAGGATTGCGCGTTATAGTCGTGAGATATAAAGATTATGAGTTCTGTGATTCCAACACATGGCAACTGCGTGCTATGGTCTGACCCTACCATCTTAAGAAATCATTGCGTCAGTTTTTACTCGCGGTAAATTTCTAGCCGTTTGAGAATTACTATGGCATTATTGATGATTTTAGCACCTGAATATCTACTTGAAATTTCTAAAGAAAAATGAAATTGAAAGGTATTTGAGTAATGATTCTATTTGGCTGAGTTTGTCTATGCGCTGAAATTCGCTAGATAGCCGTTCACGACGCGAAGGTATTTCTTTGAAATGTGAGATTCATGGTTGTAATCCTGGTAGCACCTCGATGCCCTAGAAGCGGTTCGGTTTCCACTACAAGCTGTAGGTGCCACTCTTCCTAACCGCGCACCACAAGTTTCGACTTCTGGGAAGTTGGTTCCCAACTTTGAAGTAGCGGTATACAAAACAAAAAAAAATTAAGAAACAAAAATAGCCCGTTCGCATATTTGGACGTGAGCGTAGGTACCTTGTTATCTTTGGTATCCTCGTCATCGTCATAGTAGTAGTACACGTACTCGTACTCATACTCTTGCCCATTAGGCCCCTTCTTGATCTGGATCCTGGACCTCTGCTTATCGCTCGCCGCCCCCAGAAGTGGAATGTCATCGCTGTCAATTGCTCTGGCTACGGCCCTTCCAGTTGTCAAAACGGGACTGGGGCTGGTCACTGACGGGGCCTCTTTCTTGACCCTCTTGCCGCCTCTCCTTCGGTGGGACTTCTTCGTGGCAGGGGCTTCAGTGGTGGTGCTAGTCGTGGTAGGGGTGGTGGCTTTACGTCTTCTGGATTTGCTCGGGGACTTGGCTGTCGTGGTAGACGTCAGTTGAGGTCTTGTGGTTGATGGGGATATTTGGTATCTAGCAAGAGTTCAGAATTTGATCAGGATGTCACATTTTCGATGTCTTCCCGGGGTATCTCACATATTTTTGAAGATAGAGATCTGAGGTTTTCTCGACTCGAACAATGGCTACTTTCTTGTGGAATTCAAGCTACTGTCGCTACCGCAAACAACATTTTATATTTGGAATTGACTTGGCCGTCACTTGATAGAAAACCAAAGTAAATGTAAAAAACAACACAAACGAAGATTTCCACAAAATTCTCAATCACACGACTTGTGTCGCTAACACGGTAGCTTCTTCAGGTAAAATACGTGTACAATAAACTAAACTTACATTGGATTGCCTATCTTTTATATCCTACTCTCCCAACCCATATAACCTTTCCACTGGTAACTCTAATTCTTCAGGTTGTGAGAGTTTTTTTCATGTTCTGGTTCCCACGAAAAGGGATATCCTGTAATGTTCAGAGAACATCGTGAGAACCAAGGGAAATAAGGTAGGAATTGGTGTTATCCTTAAATTTCTGGAGGTTATATGCATCGAGGAACACCTTCCTTGGCAATGTGTTCCAGAGCCTCGCTGTTCGTTGGATGAACGAGTCTTTGGAAAGATATGTTCTGCAGGTCTCCAAAGTGACCACGAGGAGGTGCGAAGCATCAACTCGACGGGTTAATCTCGCGGGGACTGCCAAGGGAGGAACAATTATTGATATTTCATAAGAGCATCGTCCATTGAAATATCTATAAAATAGAGCCAGATCGCCAACTTTTCTACAGTGTTCCAGAGAAGTGAGTGAGTTTGTGAGCGAGACATCACCCACGATACGAATTGCCTTTTTTTGGACAGAATCCAACAGTTTCAGGTTATGTTTCGGTGCTGCAAACCTGCAAATATGGAAACAGTATTCCAGGACAAGTCGGATCTGTGCCTTATAGATCATAAGCAGCTGACTGGAAGTGAAATAGCTCCTGGCTCGAAACAGAAAACCAAGTTTTTGGAATGCACTTTTAGCAATTGATCTCACGTGATTTTCCCGAGAAAGGTTATTGCTTATTATATAGTGATACCAAGCATCGAAATGAATGTTTTCAAAGGTATAGATACTCCTGACAAGCTTATGTTAGTGAGATCGGCTTTTCTAGAGAAAAGGCATGCTTGTGTTTTGTTTGCATTGAAATCTACCCAGTTATTGGATTCCCATTCGAGAATTGGTGCCAAGTCCATATTCATGTTATCAACATTTCTTCCGCGTTCGTTTCTGATTTGCCTGGCTGGTATTGGAGCCCTGGAAGAGAATAAGGCGGTATGGAGGGTACTATCATCCGCGAAGCTGTGTACTGGACAGGAAGTTGCTTCCAACAATTCGTTGATATGGAGTGGAAATAGTGTTGGTGCTAGAATTGATCCTTGCGGGACACCAGCATTTATAATGAAAGAGTCAGATGAAACTCCGTCGACCACTGCATGGAGAGACTTGTTTGAGAGAAAACTAGCTGTCAGAGAATATAGCTGGGGAGGCAAGCCATAAGATGGAAGCTTGGCGAGAAGCCCGTGGTGCCAGACTCGATCGAATGTCTTGGAGATATCAAGTGCTCGGCTAAGATTTCACCATATTTTTCAATAGATTGCTGCCATATATGTGAGACGTAAGCGAGCAGGTCACCAGTTGATCTCTGATGACGAAAGCCATATTGCCTATCATTGATAATACATTAATTTCTAGGTATTTCATGGGCTCGATGTTGATATCTTCCTCCATGATCTTTGAAATAATAGATAGGGGTGATAGATATATATTAGAAATCAGAAGAAAGAGCTCTACCGATATGGAAAATGAAATAATACAAGGTTTACGATGCTCTTTTATATTTCTTAGATTCTTAGTATACTATATTCTGAATGCCCATAAAAAATACTTAATTTCGCCCATTCGAATGTTTCTGTAAAACCAATATTAACTGAGATAGCTATATTGAATAAAATATAAACAATCAACCTGTACCTATCTGAATAATAACAGCTTATTTCGAAAATCTGACTGATCTACTGGATTCTACTTGAAAAAATGTATAAGAGACAGGGTGAAGTCCCAAAACGCAACATTTTCAATTTCGCTCTGTATCTCAAAAACGAAGCGGGCAATGAGAATTGTGTGTGCCGTATCGTTAGTTTCACCTTTGGTATTTAATCAAGGGTTTCACAAAAGAGTTCGCGAAACCGCAAATCTCTAACTTTAAAATGAGTGGGACATAAAAAATGGGACAGCTTGTAATCTCGAAAGATTTCGAAGCAGATGTGAACCAAGTATCATTCTCACTTTTCCAGCAAAGCTTTAACGTCTATCCTGGTAGCCCCTGGAGGTGCAGGAGCTGCCCCGCCTTGCGCCTCTCTCTTGTTCACCTTCTTCTTCTTCAGCTTTCCCTCCTCAACAACTTCTGTCTTCTTCTCCTCCTCCGCCTTTTCTTCTCGTTCTAGGGCGAAGGTTAGGGAAGGCGGCAGCTTGTGCGCCGTTTCGAACGGCCTGCTGCCATCCTCAGGCGTCTTGTCTTTTCTTGTGATGGGCTGCGCGTGGGCAGCGGACGATTGGACGAACACGTGATCGTCGGCTTGGGAAACGGAGGTGACGTCATCGCTTTGGGTGGGGAAACATTGTGTGGTCGCTAGGGCTGTGAGGACCAGCCTGAAAAGAAAATTGGCGTTTGATGCATCAGTTAAATTGATCTGCGAGTACAGAATATCTTTTCTCCACCACTAGCTATAAAACATACCATTATTCACTCCTCTTTTCGAGGAGTAAAGTGTGTTTTTACTACCAAGGTAGTTTTCGTCATATTATGAATCACTATATTATAGTCTCAAAAGATATAGCCACCTCTATTGTAATTAACCTAAATTCACTTTTGGGTGTATGATAAATTGACATTCATCATACAGGGCGTGGAAATGAATTCTGAATTGAGACTCTATCACGAATCTGCGATTAGAGGTCTATAAAAATCACAAGTTTCCATCGTTCAAGTTTGAACCCCCTGATTGGGTATGAAAGTGTTGAAAAGGAATATTCTCAGATAAATTTTGAACATACAAAAATGGATATATATTTATATAAAGCAATACATTGAGAATTCGCATTCTCTATGTGATGAGAATATTTACTCTTTTTCAGTTAATTCAATAGAAAACAACTACTTTCCTGGCTATATGCCACGACGAACATTGAATTATATCTATTGAACACACACGATAAGAGTTTGAAAATAAAATATAAAAATTTCTGAAATTGAGAATTTGCATTCTCCTTCAGACAAAAATATGTATATACACACATCATTCTGAATATTCAACAGAAAACAACTACTTTCCTGGCTATTTGCCACGTCGAACATTGAATTATATCTGATGAACATTCAAAAGGGGAACATAAAAAATAAAGAATAAAATCCTCCGAAATTGAGAATTGACATTCTTCTTCAAATCGGATGAATAATATGATGAATAATGATCTAGAAATATGACTTACCAATATATATTCAGCATTGAAATGAAAATTGGAATGTATAGGAGAAGTATACTGGCATGAACTCTGATCTTGATGAGCTTGAAAACGTCCAAAAATAATCATTCATATCAGTGATATGGGAAATATTATCTCTCACACACAGGTTATATGACTTTATTGCAATGAACCCATTTCGGATCTCTGAATCCTCATCAGTAACCATGATGAATATATTGGTAAGTCATATTTCTAGATCATTATTCATCATATTATTCATCCGATTTGAAGAAGAATGTCAATTCTCAATTTCGGAGGATTTTATTCTTTATTTTTTATGTTCCCCTTTTGAATGTTCATCAGATATAATTCAATGTTCGACGTGGCAAATAGTCAGGAAAGTAGTTGTTTTCTGTTGAATATTCAGAATGATGTGTGTATATACATATTTTTGTCTGAAGGAGAATGCAAATTCTCAATTTCAGAAATTTTTATATTTTATTTTCAAACTCTTATCGTGTGTGTTCAATAGATATAATTCAATGTTCGTCGTGGCATATAGCCAGGAAAGTAGTTGTTTTCTATTGAATTAACTGAAAAAGAGTAAATATTCTCATCACATAGAGAATGCGAATTCTCAATGTATTGCTTTATATAAATATATATCCATTTTTGTATGTTCATAATTTATCTGAGAATATTCCTTTTCAACACTAAATTCACTGTTCTGATGCGATACTTGCTGGAATGGCATTCGAATCTCTAATCTAGTAAATAACAACTTGTCATATGCTGTCATACAATGACATTCACCATAAATATCGATGAACTTACCCACTGTGACGCCACTGGAAATATTGTTTCGAATCTAATTGCACCAGAAGGAGCTCCATATATTAATATTAATTAAACCACAAGGTTTCACTGGAATTGATGGAAAGACAATTGAGTAATGAATAAAAGAACGATTTTTCATAGAAATATTATTACCCTGTATCTCGAAAACGAAGCAAGTTAGGACATATGTTTATATGAACTTTATTTCCTGGAATATCAGGAGGAATCACGTTGAATTGGAACATAATCACAATACCCGTACGCCATATTGGATCCGCCATCTTGAATTTCCAAATGTTGATGGAAGAATCATAATCTGCGACCCCAAAATTCCGCAGATATAAATTTCGCATGGAATTGGGCCATATTTACAAAACTCGTCCTTTATATTGGATCTATCATCTTGAATTTACAATTTTTACAAAAAAGTCATGATATATATATGACTCTGATAACCCTCAGATACCAATTTTCAACAGAATCTGATCATAAATAAAAAACTAGTCTGCCATTTTGGATCCGCTATCCTGAATTTACAAATTTTGACAAACGAATCATAATCTCCGACCCCAAAAACCCCAAATACAAATTTTGAATAGAATCGGTCCATATAATTGCAAAACTCGTCCGCCATAGTGGATCCGCCATCCTGCATGTACAAATTTTGACGAAAGAATCATAATCTCCAACCTCGAAAACCTCCAGATACCAAATTTGAACAAAATCGGTTAACACGACTCGTCCGTTATATTGGATCCGCCATCTTGATTTTTCTATTCAAAAAATAGTTAACGACCGATTCTCAGACCTACCGAATATGAACAAAAATTTACATAAGAAGTATCGGAGGAGTTTGGCCAATAACACTGTGACAGAGACAGGATAATAATATATATTCGATGTCCTACCCGATATAGAAACATCCATTTTGTATCGAATGTTGAATTCATTACACAGCGCCAAATATTTTGCGGTGATAGACAAATGATGTTTTATCCGTTTTGTTGCGAACAAACTTATTTCGACTCTGAACATTTCCAAAAAAAAATCTAAATGATTGAAATCGGGTGAACGAGCAGGTCATTTCACTTGCTCCCGTATTCTGACCCATATTATATTCGGATGCGTCCTCAGAAAGTGAAGTTGTTTTTGGTGATCCTGATCATGTGTATAAATCCAGTGCATATGTGTGACACATGTTTGGATTTAGTGCTTTATGGAGATTTCCACCTGAGGTCAAATAGAAAAAGTGATTGCTGATTGCATCTAGTTATGGTTTTAATTTCTCGAAATGCTTAGAGCTTAATCGATTAAAGCAATGAATGTAGTTGTTGGTAAAAAAAAGAGAAAATCAGTTTGATTGGGAGATTCTTCTTTGGTGGTTCTGGCAAATTACCTAGTTAATTAGCGGTTCTCCTATTTGTGATGCTAATCAAGCGGATTTGTAGCAATTATATCTTGTTTGAATAGTGAATGAAAACGAATGTAAACGGAGAGTGGTAGAAATCTTTTGCAGATTGTTGAAGACGTGACGGAGTTGGTATTTTCTGCAATCAAGCAAACGAAATTATTAACTGTAATTCATTGAAGTGAAACAATGAATAATAGGAATAAGGTACTCATACATTGCTTTCCATTTGAAACTAGTCGTCCTGAAGATTTTTTTATTTTAGAAAAATTATGATGTTGTTCAACGGATACAACGTTAATTTGATAGACGGTATTCTTTCTTTAAAAATCCATAATAAAGCTATTCAAGAAGTTTAGCCTACCATCAAAACAAGACTTAAAAGTAGCATATAGAACAAATAACACGGGTGGGAAGGTTTATCAAAAATAATAAAGACAAAACTTCTAAATTAGAAAAATCAGAGGTATACAAAGTCAACTGTGGATCTTGTCCTAAAAGGTATATATCGGTCAGACAGGTTGTACGTTCAATCAGCGCATTCATGAACATAAAATGAATCTATTGAAAAAGAAAACAAATTCAACATACTCCAACCATAAATTAGGAAAAACTCATAGTTTTCATGATAATTTCGAAATTCTACACTTAGAAAATAGATAAGGAATAAAACCCAATCATTTTGAATCATTAGAAATCAACAAACTAAAAAATTCTGACATTTTAGTTAAAGATCAACTAGACCTCGCTAGTTACACGGTTCGTACCGAGTAGTTTGGAACATAACTATTTTGAGGTTAGATTTCTCAATCCGAATATAATATGAACTTGAACATCATTCAATTTTACACCAGAAAGGTACTTCTCGTGAAACTCGATACTATGTTCCGTTTTCGGAATATTTCGATTTGAAAATATTGGAGTAATATAGCTGATGCTGGTATAAAATGAATTTTATTGAGTTCAATTACTTATTTATTCAGAATCAAAAACAATAAAATTATTCTTGTGCTGAAGTTATTGATGGAACAAAGAATCATGAGTAGAAAATTAAGAGATATTTGACTAGAAACATGAAATTCTGAATCAGTTAGTTAGAGTAAGTGTTCAAAATGTCCTACGTTTCGACGAATACACGATTCTATATTCTTTTTTTTAAGAATGTATTATTTTTGTAAACAGTTGAGGATCAGCTGTTAGATCATTTTCTTCCATTGGCGTAGAATTTTTAAATGTGCAATTATTTAAAAAATCAAGTTCTACGCCTATGTATTATAATCAGAATTTATATGGGAAAAACGATTTAAAAATTGTAACTTCAAGGCCCTCTGGAGCCCAAACGATGCAACTTTGTACTGAGGTAATTTTACCTAAATCGACTTATTTTGGTATAAGGAATTCGTGGTATGTTTTTGTAAAGACCTTTTACAGACACCCTGTATAAGGAGTAAGGAGGTGGTATGCATATTATTGTGTACGACACGTAGTTTATCGAGACCAACCCAGAAAGTGAATCAGTTTTCTATTATTCCTGTAACGCGTAATACAGTTACAATGCAGTGTCGTAATAATGGTCTAGATTTGCTCTGCGGTATCTAGAACACTGTAATCATAGATATAATATATACAGACAAAAGCTGACTGTAATATAATAGATATTTATTACTGGTGATTATACTTATACTATACTATATAAATAATCATTGAGGACATGGGATATACAATACTGACTATAGGGGCACTGAATATCTGACAATGTAATAACAGTTTAACTAATAACTATTCAACTAGGAAAAAGCCGAATACTCAAACCCCGAAATCTATGCAATTGTTGCAAGATTTACGTATAAACATGTACAACTGACAATGTGGACGACATGCACACTGGTGGTATCGGATATCAGATTTCAGCGATTTTTCAGACTTGTATTAGTCTTCT